AATTGCTCCGCAATAGTCGCCATGATGTTATGCGGTGCAACCTTAGACTTCGTCATGTCACGCACAACCTGCTTCGCATTCGGGCTCAACCCACTAATTTTACGATGACCCTCTGGATACGCAATCATTGGATGGTTGTGGGTCCCAGTTACATCATCTTTCGCCCGGATAAACCAAGTATGGGCGACGAACTAGTAACATATCTTGATGTAGAAAGGACAACCAATGCCCTTGGTTTTGGTGTCCTTCCGAATTGCGTTCTCAAGATCTCTCGGCTTACTCCTGCGTCCCCGATCACATCTTAAATATCGAACTGGTCGACCATCCCTCTGTTTGTTGAAAGACGATTTCACCAAAATAAATCCCAGATTTATTGCAACAGCATCCGCCCATGTAACTACATCGTCAAACGTTAGAAAAACCGTGTCTGTCACAAAATGTGCACTGTAATTCACAACGTCACCGTCGTCTTCAACCTCCGAATCCTATCAAAATAACAACACAAACAAATAAAACACGCAAGGATTAGTATTTTAAATTTAACAATAATAATAAAAATAATCATAATAAAAATAAAAATAACAATAATAATATTAATAGTATTAATAGTAATAATAACAATAATAATAATAACAATAACAATAACAATAACAATAATAATAATAATACTAATGATAATAATAATAACAATAATAATACTAATGATAATAATAATAACAATAACAATAATAATACTAATAATAATAACAACAATAACTACGTAACATTAACAAATAATAACTAATATAATAATAATAACAACAATAGTAATAATAATAGTAGTAATAATATTAATAATAATCATAATCATAACAAAAATTTACAAAATTAACAAAACTAATATTAATAACCATAATAATAATAATAATAATAATAATAATAATAATAATAATAACAATAACAATAACAATTACGTAAAAAAAAAAAAAAACAAAAAACCAAAGGACATCCGCCCTTTTTTTCCGGAAGTCTGGGTGGGGATCCGCCCAAAATTTCCGGATCTCCCCCATTACATCCGGAAATTTCAGGCGGATGTACACATTCGGATGAAATTTCCGGATGTAATGGGGGAGATCTGGAAATTTTGGGCGGATCCCCACCCAGACTTCCGGAAAAAAGGGCGGATGTCCTATTTACAAAAAAAAAAATAATTTCCGAATTACTTACAGATTCTTCCGACGAACCCTCCGGCGTGTGAACGTTGTCGTCGTCCATCGTAAAACACCACTCCGTACACTTTCCTTTTCTGCCCCGGGATTTTTAAATTCCTCGGGATTACCGTACAATGGTGGAACCGGGAATTTTTAGTGCTCGTGAATTTTTTAACACAAGTGTGGTGGGCTCGGTAATGTTTTTAATGTTGTCGGTAACTAAAGTTACCCATGGTGGACCCTTAAATAGATAAAATACCCACAAGGGCAAAAATGTCATTTCAATTAAAAATGTGAACGTCACCCTGTAATTTGCGAACGACGAATAGCAGTTCAGAAGAAATATAGTGCTAAAATTATATCAGTTGGGCCTGCAAAAGAGCCTGAGAAGCCCAAAGAAGTGACCAAAGTTGTAGTCCCAGTGATTGACTTTGTTAATGCTATGCATGCGCATAACACTTACTACACTGATCCATGCTATTCCAGATACAAGGGTTATACAAGAAGCGTGGAAGAAGATCCAAATGGTTGCGTTATTTGTTAATTGCGTAGTACCCCCTCTATTGCAAAACAAAATCTCTGTTTTTCTCCTTAATTTAGTTTTTCCTGGTTCTAGCTAGTAAGTTGGAGTTTTATTCAAATTTAAATAATTAAGCTTCACTTTAACACTTTGTTTGAATTGAAGAAAATGGAGCGAAAAGAAGGGAAGGAAAATGAAGGGATGGATTATCTTTCATTTGGATAACAAATAAGGAAGGAAGAGAATTGGAGGGGAGAGAAATGGAAGGATTAAATAATAAGAAATTAATCTCTCTAACTATGGAGAGATTTGGAAGGAAAACTCATCTTTCTTCCCTCCCCTTCCTTTCTCTTCCCTCCCCCTCACCTCCCTCCCCTTCTTTTCTTTCCTATTTCTTTCAAACACACCGTAAGAGATTTTCTAAAACAGTGGATAACAAATTAGTGAAGTTACCTGAAAAGATAGAAAAGGCTATTGTGACTTTTGTGGGGCAGAATATGTATAAGCACAACAACTTATACCAGTATATACTAGTTTACAAATAAGCGTGTTCCTAAAGAAAAAGTTTGACATCACGTGATTGAGTTTTGGACAAGCAAATAGGGAAAGTCCATGTTACTATGTTGGCGGCTGGACAAGTACGAATGCAAAGAGTTCGAAATTAGCCTCATAAGACTTGTTCTTCTCATTTAAAATCGGGAAGTAAATTAAGAAAAGTGAATCATAATTAGATAGTCTCACTTGAGAGAGAGAGGAAAAAAAAAAATTGAATTGAAAAGGGGGGACAAAGTAATTAATATGGTGTTTTGGAAGAGGAAATGATGATTAAAAAATTGGAATTATACATGAGGGATTCAATTAGTGAAAAATTGTATAAAAAAATGATACGGAATATATTACTTCCTCCGTTCTTTTTTTTTATTGCACCATGAGGGGTTTTACGCTTGTCAATGCATTATTTTAGCTATTAATATATTCAATTATACTTTTGTAAAAATTATAAAAAATTGATATTTGAAAAGTAGGTTTCAAGACGAATCTAACTAGATCCCACATAACTATGTTTTTCCTAATGGATAAATCACAAATAATAGTTAAAGAAGATCAAGTAAATAGTGTAAAAGTCTTTATGGTGCAATAAAAGAAAAACGGAGAAAGTATAAGAAAACAAAAAGGAAATATTTTAACCATACATGAAAAAAATTGTTGACTTTTCCTAACCGGGAAATAGAAAATTGTTGACTTTTCCCAATTGGGAAATAGAAAACTGTTGACTTTTCCTAATCGGAAAATAGGAAATAGAAAAGATCAAAGAAAGTAATAAATTATGATAATCACGGTTCAATATTCCATCAATATTCAAAACTTGTAACCCCATCGAGCGCTAAAAAGAAAAAAAAAATACAATACAAAAAAATTGTCTATCAGCGTAGGTACATAATAGTATAATAGATTAATATTCCTTAGTAGTATTCTTAAAAAGCAAAAGTTAACGAGAGCCTTGAGACATTGGATAATAAAATAAGTAAAAGTATAAATCAATAACATAATATTAAAACAGACACTGGGAATGACACATGTCACTTCCTGGTGTCGTTTTTTCCATCTAAAAATTAATTTCCAAAAATAAATATATTCTAATTTTATTTTTCTTTTTATTTCTTTTTGATTGACAATTTATTTAAGACAATAAAATCATATACATTTGATTTATATATTATAATAACAATTAAAGATTCTTAGAATTAATTTTAATATTATTTGCTAATAATGATTGTTATTCTGATATATTACAATCAAATCAAATGTATTTAATTTATAGTACGAAATTAAGAAAAAAAAAACATCTTTACGTTATATTGCATCAAATTGACTTTAACACATAAATCTATCACTAAAACTATATATACTTCCTTCGTTCCCGAAAGTTCGACTCACTTTCATTTGCGCGATCTCTAATGAACATCTTTGACTGTGAATATCTTTGGCTATGTATGAGTAAAAATTACAAAAAGTTGATATTTGAAAAATTTATAATAAGGTGAATCTAATAAGATCCCACATGCTAATTTATTTCTATTGTATAAGTTATAAAATGTGGTCAAACTTATTTTATTTTGACTACATGAATAGTAAGTGAGTCAAATTTTCAGAAACGGAGGTAGTATTATATTTAAGGTGAAACCAGGAATGACATGTGTCATCTTCTTTTTAAAAAATTTCCCACCAATTTATTTATTTATTTATTATTTTTGTTGCCAAAGCTTCTTATAGAATATTTAATACTATTCAATAATATTTCCTTACTATTCAATTATATTCCATTTATACACATTCAACAATAATATTATTCTTTTATTTAATACTATGCAATAATATTTCATTACATATAACTTTGTGGTGTAATCCATAATTATTTTTGTTAGTCGTGCATGTAATAATACTCCTATCTTTTTTTTTTTTTTTTTGAAACATCCTACTATCTTCTTTAGCATGATATAATTTTATTTTTATTTTTGTAATTACGAATTTTTCATCTTATTTTACAATTAGATACTTTTATTTATAAATAGATATAGTGTTAAACTAATAATAAATAGTAAAAATTACTGTGCATGGCACAGGATCTAAGCTAGTATTGAATTAAAATGAACATTAATTACACCAATCGACGTGTGATTTTGACATTTTTTTTAAAAAATTAATACAATTTTAGGAAATATTTTAAATGCTTAAATAACGCTCCAGGGGCATTTATTAGCAAGATCCTTTTAAAAATACTTATTAACAAAATAAATAATGAGTTGAGAGTCATAAACTCATAGGTGCCATTTTGATGTTTGTACAGGGTGCTAATTAAGTAATTTTCAGTTAACGTTTTAAATTATAACTTAATTGATTTTAGCGAAACAGATGAAGCGTTGCAAAATACTAAGTACAAAGTAATATAATGTTCAATCAACAAGATTAATTCATGTTAAAATTATTAATGACATTGTAATTTACTATAATTCAATGATGCTCCATATCCTATGAAACATTCGTTCTAGGTATGTTCATCTTATTTTCATATATTTGAGAAATTCATTGTTAAATCAACAACTTGGAGACATTGGAAGCTGCCTTTAGCCTTACCCGACTGACACACGCGGCATTCACAGATCCACAAAGACATAGTCATAGTCTAATGAAGAAATGATTATTACTACTATGTACTTACAAAAGACTTGGACTTTGTTGCCCATTGACCAGGTTGTCAATTCCATTTCCCTTCCCCGTATAAATAGGACTACTCACGTAACTCTTTCTACATTCTTAATATTTGTCACTGCTTTCTACTCTCTTACTTGTAATTGTTTTATCTTCTCTCTCATATCTCCCTCTCTATAGTATTTTAAGGAACTACAGACTCCCCAATCAAGAAAACGATAACAGAATGCAGGTTAGATCTCTACTTCTTTAAGAAAACGAGCCAATAAGATCGAATATATATATATATATATACACACATAACTACCCCGAGTATCTCATCTTGCTATTGAATTTTTAGTTGTTATTTTCATGTATTCATTATTTCGTTTTTGTTGGGTTTTGCTTCAGAAGTTGGTGGTGACATTGGATATCCAAGATGATAATAACAAGCAAAAGGCTATAAAATTGGTCTCTTCTATTCCTGGTACACCTTTTTTTTTTTCTTCTCCAAAATAGCCTTTCATTTTGTGGCAATATTTTCAAGAAGAATTAAACAAAGAATTGGATATTAATAATTGAGGTTTTATTTTTACAGGGCTTGATTCAATCTCAATGAATATGAAGGAAAAGAAATTGACAGTAATAGGTGACATGGATCCTGTGGCAGTGGTGAAGAAATTGAGAAAAAACTATTACACTGACATTGTCACGGTTGGGCCAGCAAAAGAGCCCGAAAAGCCCAAGAAGCCAGAGGAGCCTAATACTGTGGTCCAAGTGTCTGACTTTATACATGCTATGCAGGCCCATAACTCTTACTACAATAATCCACTATACTCAAGATACAATGGTTATGCAAGAAGCGTTGAAGAAGATCCAAATAGTTGTGTTATTTGTTAATTGAAGTATTACTAAAAAAATAGAAGAAAAAAATAATTATTATTCATATTGGATGAGTTAGTCTACTTATACCTTTAGGTATAAAGCTTAAGTTCATGTGTGATTAGAGATAGGGTCGAGTAGTATTATATAGTTCATAGTTGCACTATTGATTATTATAACAGTCAATCAATGTTAAATTTTTAGAGATTTTTGTATCATCAGAAGTATCGGAAATTTTGAGTCTAAGGCATTGTTGCTGTTGTTTGTATCATCAGAAGTATTGGAAATTTTGCTTTGCAGGCAGTGGCTCAAATATATTATAGCCACTTAAATGAAGATAAAAAGGCTCTACAATATTGATGTTAACGTATCGATGACCATTTCATCTATGAATCTATGATCAACATCATAGATCTTTCTGTTGCAATGGAGGAAATTTAATTATAGTCAGTACACTAGACTTCGTATCTTTTTTATCAAAAATAAATGAAAAAATGACTGTTGGCTCATCAAATAATCCTATTCATTGTAAATATACCCACTCAAAATGGTGCACCAAGCTCATCATTGTAAACAATATGCAGTTTCATGGTTTCATAATTTCATTCGAAAATTACTTGTAAAATGAGATCAGTCAGAGCAAAGAAAGCCAAAGGAGTACTTGTAAAAACTTGCCAAAAGTGAACTATACTTCTCATTGAGGATATATATATTCTTTGGGGTTATGTAGCATAGACTACAGGCATCAACGGGTACTTACACTTATACTTTATACTAAAACCTTGCCTCTTACCCATTTTCTGCTATTCACAATTCACACTTAATTTTATTTACATACGACAAGATTCTACTTCGTGAAACTAATTTTAGTGAATCCATTTTTTTTTTCCTTCTTTCCTTCCACATTTCGCACTTCACTAAAAAGCACGGACTGTGTACTGATACTTCTATTGACTGTATCAACATTCTATACCCGACTTTTATATTCACAGACAAGCTCATTTTCACGCAAAGCAACAAGACTACTAATTAAGTAATTATGTATTGCTAAATCTTTACCAGAAACGGTTGCTGATTGCTTTACTGTAAGCCCTATGCTCTGCTGCTTCAAGACTCATCTGTGCCAACTTCCTTTGTATCTGGAGGTGATGGTTAATTGGAGAATTGTTGCTCTCTTCAGCATGAAAACCTACAAACAGAAATGGAACACTAAGTTTAGACGTACCAGGTAGAAACAGCTTATAGAGAATCAGTATGATTAAGTTGATTACTACCTCTCTTTCCCATATACATGTCTGATTTCACATTTGTCTGATAATTGAGAGGAAGACTTCTTAACACGTTAGACTCCTGATTGTATCTTGGAGACTGAAGAAACTGATGATAGATTGAAGGATCAGCTGAAAGAATTTTGTCGAGGTCAGGGCAGTTGTCATCAGCATGTGGCATTTTAGGCGACAGAAAATTCTCAACAGAATCATAATTTGGCTTCAAAGGCAGCTGACCAAAGGGAGGAGGAACAAAAGGATTGTAACGATTCTTCCATGAATCTTGAATTGTAGGAGGGGTACTGACACGAGCCAGAGAATCAGAAGGATGGACCGATAGATTCTTGGAATTTATCTGAGGTTCGTGATACCATGGGTCTGGTGAGCTCAACTTTTGCTGCACACTTTCTGATCCTTTCAGCTTGTTTGAACCACGGAAAGGAGAAACACTTCTTTCACCTCTGATAGGGATCTCGGGACTATTTGGCTCTTCTTGCTCGAAGATATAGATGCCATCAACAGTAATCAAACTATCCTCATCTGGCAGATTGAGTTCCAAACTTGAACCAGCTTCATCAGCTATTTTTTCCAACTCAGGCTCTTTAACAATCCGAGAATCAAGATTTTTGTGATCAGGAGAGCAACAGTTTAGCACAACACTGTCAGAGTCAAGGCAGTCAATAACGCATGTCTTTGATTTCTCCCTGAATGGAGCTTTCTGGCCATAAGTTGATGCCTCCTTTGACTTCTTTTGACCCAAGGGATTCTCCTTCGTTGATATTCCAGTAGAAACTTCCCAACCATCTCTGTCAGCCTCAGACGAGATGTTACCATCATAACTATCTGATAAGGAATGGAAAAAGAATTATCAACACTGGTATTAAACAGTAGGAAACGAAAGACTAGAACCAAGAGGCCAAGGGAGGAAGGTCTATGACAGAGAGATCACTGTTGTAACAACATACCATTATCTGGAAACCAGTGTATAAATTTTGATTTAGTTCTGGAGCTGTTTCTTCCATCCACCATGACATCATATTTCTGCCAAGGATGAAAATTCAAAGGTCAAGAATCAATATATTAAGCACTCTTCTTAATATAATTGTGTTGGCATGATTTAAGGTCTGGTCTGATCTTTAATACAAGTACAAATTTACGATGATGGTTTGCTATTAAACAAACCAATCTTAATAACAATGTATATAATATGTTGATCCAGGCAACATACTTACAAAATGGCATAGTTTATTGACATAATTGTTACATAATACTTGGACAACTCACAGGCTCTCTCTTTGTTTCACCAGCCTTTTTTAACAGAATTGCTATTTTCATGTTGCTGATCATTGCAGAGTGCTGTATAAGTGTTTTTAGACATATAAAGTTCACCTTTATAAAACGAGAAGGAAATTATGTTGCTGATTTGATAGCAAAGAGAGCTAGTTCTTTTTCTGGAATCTGGATTGCATGAATGTCAATATAGCATTATGTAGTGCTACCCATTGAAAGACTTGTTTCATTATTAAAACTAACCTGGTGCCTTGGTGATTGACAAAATCTAATTATGAATGCATTCACCGAAACAGATGGATTTGGATTGTTGAAGTGGGATTACATAAATGGCAGCTCATCCAAATACATATTGACTATGCCATGTCATGTAGATTTTTAAATCATTTATATACAAATGGAGAGCAGGTGTGATACTGGGATCAAAGACTCGAAACTTATTGCTACATTTAAAAGTCTGCCGAATTCTAAGCAAGAAAAAAATCACACAAGGAGCATGGAATAATTAGGTTTGCAATCAACAAAATAAGCACATATTGGAGCACTAAAATATTTACTGGCATATAATTTTGAAAACTGGTCACTAAATCTCATTTAAATTATCTTTGAAGTTTTGAATTCATAAAGGCTATTAGCCTTGGATGCAATGGCAAGGTAAGGACATTTATCACTCCTCTCTCAAGAATCATGATTGCAAAAGTAACACATGAAGTTACTGATTAAATTCAACTTGACTTCAACCAGAAGTGATGAACAAGCATACCTCATCGAGAAAGTAAGCATCAATATCCTCTGCTTCTTTTAAATTCATAAGGGCAGAGAACCGACCACCCTCCAAAATTTGACCCTGCAAGGGCTGCAACTGCTTTTTACCGATTGCCACTCCAGAATCTACTTCAATCAATTGGTTCTTAGAAGTAAACTGTTGCACCGTTGGATAGCTAGATTAGTAAGTTCACCTTTTGGGCATTTTAAGCAAATTGCGCGGTCATTGCATAGCTTCTAGGAGTGTAAACTGAAACACTAGTTGGCTTAGACATCATAGCATTGCAGATTGATACAGGGAATTCATTTTTGACACAATAATATGGCAATAAAACTTTTGAAGTAAAATCTAGTCATTTGATTTAAATAATTATCATTTATTATCGCACACACACATATGAGAAGCTTAAAACATCATATTTCTCCTAGAAACAGAATAGTTGACAATTTGCACCAATAAAACAAATTAGCGTATAACTTGGTCATTCAGTATGATACTACAACAGCCATTCCTTTAATACATATTTGCAATAGTTAGACAGCTAGTCTTACACATACTTTGTGTTCATTGCTTAGCAATAATTTGTAAATTGGAGAAAAGGGGATTTTTTTTTTTTTTTTTTACAATACTTACCTGTGTCAGAGGGTGATGGTCAGGATTTTGTTCTGTATGACACTTTTTGGAAGCTTCACCAAGGACATCAACAGAACAGAGGCTTTCAACAGATCCAGAAATAGAAGGAGAGATAGGTGAAGGACTTTTGTTGCTGGTAACTGCTGGCACGGCTGAATGCTCTCCCAGCACTAGACAAGTATCTGCATCAGAATTTTCTATTTATTAGTTTGACTTGTTTTTGCCTTTCCTGAATTGCCCACTATTGCTCATTGTGAGAAATTCAGGAAAGGCAAAATCAAGTCAAACTCAAAAAGAATTGCCCACGATTGCTCATTACTTCTTATGTTGTGAATAAGCAAAAAGTTGTGAAAGCTTAGGAGTGAACCAGCAATTTAGGTACCACATGGATGGAATCATGAATATATCTAACCTGAAAGCCCATATGAATACAGAAGGCACTATACATAGCATAGGGTACACAAAATTTACCTTTCCTCCAATTTCCCTCCATTGACCTCGCCTTGCTCGACCATTCAGCACATTCAGATATTCCATTGCTAGAGGTGCCACGTTTTAGTTTACCTGAATGGTTTATTGCCTGAACAAAGCACAAGGTTTTATTAAAATCTCTAAATCAGCATTTTAAACCACAACCAAATCTGCAACTAAATTACATTAAAGAATAACTGCTTCCTCTCATCCCTTTACCCCTCTCCGCACATTAAGAAAAGCACAAAGAGAAACAGACCTTATAAAATGATGGAGGACGATATGGTTCGTTGCACCTGCTCAGCAGACCACTATCAGTCCCTGGAAGTTTTATAACTGACCCTTCTGATCCAGTTGATGGTAACTTTGAAGTAGACCAGCTTCCTAGTATGCTATTATGTTCAGGGTTTCGAATTGATGTCAAAATTGCAGTACTTCCAGGTTTTTGCCAGGAATGATGAGATTGATTGCTATGAAATGTGCCATGATCTGTATTATATCAAATGCTTCAGCGCCTTTTTTAAAAAAAAAAAAAATAGTAATCACATCAAAGAGCAATATTCAGTTAAAATCAATCAATTGCAATCAAATTGAACCAAAGAAGCCTGTTGATTTTGCATCCTATTATCAATTAAGAGAAAAATGTAGCTGCAAGTGAGGCACTTTGAAGGCTAGTTAGCTGCCTTAATATTAAGAGCATCAAAATTGTAGGATTAATCGATATGGCTGAACTTCCCATAGAAAGATTTATTAAATTCTTATGTTTTCACATGCTAGCTTTTGTTCCCACTTTATAAAAATTGGGTCCACGATAAGCTAGACTATTAGTTACTAAGTAGAAAGATACACTCTGTGTGTGTTCGTGTGTGGCAGAGAGGAGGTAATAGCAATAATATATGAGGACTTGCTGTCTTTTGAGCTCAACTTAAAACTTCCCAATTTTACAGATGAATCTGGACTAAAATCACTGCATAGCTTGCCAGTGAATAGTGAGTCATGACCTGGTAGTTTCTAGTGTCAAGGTGCACCCTTGCAAAGAGACCAGTTGACTTTGCATCCTATTAAGATGGAAGAGAAACGCATAGCTACAAGTGAGGCGCTAAGATGGCTAGTTAGATGGATAGTTAGCTACCTCAATATTAACCAAAATAAAGATGAGAATTCATCCAAATTAAAGAATAAAATAGATCAAGATTGTACGTAGAGCTCAACGAAATCCCAGACTAGACGCCAGTTGCTCATTAAAAAGTTCAGTAACAAATAAATGGCTGACCTTCCCATAGAAAAAGGTTTTATTTTTATATAATTTCTCATGCTTTCTTTTGTTCCCAGTTTCTTACAATTTGGGCCATCATAAATGAGACAATTATTATTAAGCCAAAAGATATACTTCGTGTGTGTATACATATACATATACATATACATATACATACATTGCAGAAAGAAGGTAGTAGCGTTAATACCTGTGGACTTGCAGTCCTTTGAGCTCAAATTACAATTGCCCCACTTTTCTGATGAATCTCGACTTGAATCGCCCCATATCGTGCCAGTATAAAGTGATTCAAGACCCGGTAGTTTCTGGTTCTCAGATGCACTCTTGCAAGCATCATCCAGCTCACTGTTCAAAAGCAGATGTAATAAGGAATAATACGTGAAAGCTCTATGCCCTCAAACTTGTGCGAAATGAGTTGAGCCTCTGAAAAAAATATAAAAAACTAAAAACTGGAAGGAAAAAAAAAGATCATACATGCAAAAACAGGCAACTTGACAAGGCATCTAATTAGACTCCTAGGATGGCAAAAGATCAAAATAAAAATAAAACCAGCAAGCTGTTTCAGGATTTAGGCCACATTCATAACATGTAGAACAAGATATTAACAATTCATGCATGGAAAAACTTAGCTCAGATGTTGCAAATGAGCTGGTACATAAAAACGCTATATATGGCAATGACACGTATAGAATAAGAAATCAACAAGTGATCCACTGGTATATGTTGTGTTACTTTTGACTCTTCATTTTACCCCAAGATTCCATGTTGGATAATTGGACTGGATATGATACTTAGATACTTCATTTTGGACCTAAATCATTCAATATTTCATAAAAAGGTCATGTCTACACTTGGACCTATCTGTGCATTGTGTAGGACACTACATATAATGGAGTCCAGTTAACATGCTGTAAAAATAACTACAACGTTGCAAATTAGCAAGTACATAGAAACTCTACAAGGTTATGAGTTTTATGACGCATAGAATATGAAATCAACAAAACTTTCATTGGAAAATTAACTAGAATGTTGCAAATAAGTTTACATACGATTTCTACATATACACATAGAATACATACACATCAAATATTTCATATATAAAAGTTAAAACCTCCAAGAAGATTAACGTACTGAAAGGTACAGTTATCTAGTAAACCTTGATTCAAACAAAAACTTACTTAACATCAATCTTCATAAAGCATTAATGATCCAAAAGTAAACATAAAAGTTGCACAGATGCTAAAAATAACAACAAAAATTGAACTGTTACATGCAACAGATAAATCTATATGATCAGAACACTAGCGCGCGAAATGATTGCGTAAACAACAAGCCACATTGCATCACATATTGAAGTTTTTGGAGTGGTAACTGATAATATTGCAGCATTATTACATATATTAATCGTCATAGCATAATCACAACAAAAAAAGCGCTCAAACATAATTCAAAATTTAGTCTGAAAAAATGAATTTCACCTGAGAATAGACCGATCCAATCCAGTAGGTAACGCTTTCGTATAATTCACTTCAGCGAAAGACAACAAGCAATCTCTTGAATACGAAATCCTCGAATTTCTGAATCGTCAAAAAATTGTGTACATTATCAATTTCAGTACAAATTACAGTACAGCGAATTTCAGAAACACAAAAAATTACAGAAATCTTACTTCCGGAATCCTCCAGAAACTTCGTTCGAATTGAAAGCTACTTCACAGCTTCGACATTCGCCTTCGCAGCTCATTCTTCGAAAATTCTTTCTCCTCCAAAATCGCAAAACCTTGACGTTACAGAAGCTAAAATAATCGCAAAACTGAAAAAATAATGATGAATTACTGAAGAATTGCAGGAAAAATAATGAAGGAAGAAGATGATCGAACTAAAAGTAGAGGAAATTTACAGAATTCTGCAGAAAAATGGAGGAGAAAAAGTTGAATTTGAGAGAAAAATGAAGAGAAAGAGAGATGAAATTGAAAGTTAGGGTGAGAAATGAAGGAAGAAGAGAGTGTTGGGAGATTTATAGGGTTTTTGATTTTGTAGCAAAATTGTGTTTGTGAAGAGATTGCTAAAATTGGTAATGAAACAGGGAGAGTGGAAAGAGAGAGGAAGTGAAGGAGTGTGTATATCAGTATATCGCCTAGACTTCGATGGGAAAATGAGTAAGATATGCGCGGAATACTTATTCGTAACAAACGGGCGTATGTATGAAAGGTTTGAAAGTGTTATTAACTTATTACCTCGATTTATTATAGTCCGGTCTCGTAAATGTCAATTAGCTTACTAGATTGTTTGTATTTAGTAAATTAGTACTCTGTAGTTATTAGCTCATGTACGGAGTGTGTATTTTACCATTTAGACCTTGAAATAAAAGAAAAAAAAATCTTAAATTAGGAAATTTTCCAATTTGAATTTTAAACAAACTAAAGGGGTGTTTGGTTCGCAGAGTGATATGTGTTTAGAATCAGGAATGTGGTTAAGGTGGTATCGGGTTGGAACTTGATACTTAATACCATGTGTTTGGCTCAATTCTGGAATGGAGTCTCTCACTATTCACTCCTTTTATTTGATACCTAAGGGAATGGAATGAGTCAAATCCACCCCCAAGGTTTTTGAACCCCATACCTCATGGGCATGAGGTATGGGTTTAAAATTCATACTTTTGACAACCAAACATCATATGGTATGGGTTTTAGTCATTCTAAACTCATACCTCATACCTATATTCCGTGAATCAAACGCCCCTAAGGGCTACGGAGTACTCCCTCCGGATTTTTTTTATAAGGTAGAGTTACTATTTTCGTCCGTTTTTTTTTATAAGTTAGAGTTCCATTTTTGAAAATCTCTTACAATTTAATAATATATCTTTACCCACTAATGTCCCCACTCTTTCTTACTTTATCATTTCTCACTCCTCTAATGGTCCTTACTCCCTCTCACACCACTTTACTTTTCAATAAAATAATAACCTTATTTATCCCACTAACATATTATTTTATTAAATTACCTAAAACTCCGCGCAATCTCATTTTTAGCCTTAAAAAAAAAAGGGGGGAGTATTATAGTTTTCAACTTTTCCCTCACTTTTAGCAACTTTTAGCTCCGTTAATACTAAATTAGTACTTTCTTCGTGCTTCATTTGGTAAACCCATAAAGTTGGATATGCGTTTATGAATAATAGTGTGGAGGTGAAGATTTTGGAATAGACATTATAATTATGTTGGATAATTACAAATTTACTACTTATGAAGTGGAAGAATGAGAAAGTGATGATGGAAATTACAAAGTGATAATGACTTCTTTTTGTTCATCAAGTTGTTGCTCTAAGTATTTATGATAACTTACAAACTATGGTCATATACTCATATCCAACGAATTAACTTATGTAAACATATTCTATTTGACTTAAACCTAGCCAATTAACTCTATAGACTTGTATAGTTGTATTACAATATCTTATACCATGTATAAAGTTAAACTCCGTACTTGTGAACTTATTTGTTTGAAATTTATCAACATTAAGGTTATACTCACCAATTTATTTTTTTGATGAATTAACTTAATTCTGCTTTATTTTTTCTTTGCATAACTTGTTAGAGTTTATGTATATGCTCATTGTCTAATTTAAACTTAATACACATTAAAATGCCAACCATGTTAGCTAGGGTCTTGAGGGAGATCCTTTTACATTGTTGTTCAATGTGGTACCTCTTTTATGAACTCAAAACCAACAATCAATAAGTTATATATACTCCCTCCAACCTCCGTCTTTAAATTATTATCCTCTTAGGTTTGAACACGTATATTAAGATGAAATACTAAGATAATTTAGACTATAAGAGTATAATTTCAAGCATTTTTAGAGGGAGTAACCCTTCATTATGTATCTTGGTCTTTATTTTCAATGTAACTCAACAAGAACTAGTAGAAATTTTGACTACTGTCATTTATTTTTTTTACACATACCCAAACCCTCCCCCTACGAAAAGTCCTAAAGAGACTCCATTGTTCTGTGATCAGGTCACACTCTTAAATTCATTCTGATGCATTGTCTTTTTCGTTACCTGCTCTTTTTACCAGAACAATCTCATCAACATCTAAATGACTAACAAAGTAGTGACACTATTACATTCTCAAATTGGACTGAGAGAAAGTATGCTACACAATCCAACTAGACAGACCAGTGACGAGATTGAACCATTAAACTGGATTGAAAGAAAATAAGGGTGCACAATGAGCTGAGTAGGCGTGGCTTTAAACTTTTGTTCACTTGGGAGTCAAAAGAAAATCGCTCAAGTAATGATAATCACACTGACTAATGCTTTGTTAGTATCCTCATTCCCTATAATAAGCTATCTGAAATGTGATGCATATGTTTCTTTTGTTTATATTGCGTCACCTATAAAATTAATGAGTATAATGACAACTATAGCTTGATATAATTAGAGTTGCCCCAACCTAAACTTGAATTCCAAGAGACCAAGAATCCCAGCTTGAATAGTTAAGATTGAATTTGAGCTTGAGCTTTGATCCACCCTTCAGCCGTACTTAGCATCTGATGAACAAGCTTGTTGGATGAATATGTAAATAAACGAAAAGCAAATTCTAGGAAATCAGAAATACTTGGGATCTAACATGGTAGAGAGAATTCATTAGCTCATGAACTTTGTTCACAAAGTAACCTCGAATATTTTTTGGGTGCACATATTAGGAACAAAATCATTTGACAAACTTGCGAAAAGAAGTTCTCCGTGTTTCAGTAAGTACATTTCCATTTGAAACTTCTAAAGTTCAATGTTTGCACAAACCAAAACTGTCAAACATAGAGCAGAATCCCCCGAATCTAGGGGATTCAGGTAATTATAGTCTGATTCAATGTGCAGCAGTAAGGTTTGGAATGGCATTAAACCAAATGCATGGAGATTAAGTTGTGTTTAATCTCAGACTTCAAGAGACCAACAAGTTTCAGTATGGCAGAATACAGAAAACGTTTATGATATGTAAAATTGAGGGGCAAAGCACATCAAAAGAATTAATAACCAAAAGATTTTAACTATTGATTATTGAACTTGACCAAGTTACAGATAGAGCAACACAACCAAGTTCAACATAGAAAACCAAACAGACTCAATAGTAGAAGACACTTAAAGACACCAGACCAAAAACTCTGCCTTTGGAATAACTACTACTAGTACTAATAAAAACATAACTTCCTTTGTCAGACTAGAATATATCCACTTTATCAACAATGGTAGAAAAAATCTGTAAGATAATCACCAGCTTAATCAACCTCCTCCATCTTGCTCTCCTCAGCAGCATCTTCCTCCAGAGCAGGCATGTCAGCATCCTCAGTCTCTTCCTCATCAATGCTCAACCCGAGTTTCAACATCCTGTGGATCCTAGCAGCGAAGGTGTTCGGATCCTCAAGACTGAAACCAGAGGTCAGTAGAGCAGTTTCAAATAGCAGCATGACAAGGTCCTTGACCGACTTGTCGTTCTTATCAGCCTCGGCTCTCTTCCTGAGCTCCTCCATAATACCGTTGTCAGGGTTAATTTCCATAGTCTTCTTGCTAGACATGTAAGCACCCATGCTGCTGTCCCTCAAAGCCTGCGCCTTCATGATTCTTTCCATGTTTGCACTCCAGCCGTATTCACCAGTTACCAAGCAGCAAGGAGAATCAACAATTCTGTCAGACACCACAACCTTCTCAACCTTGTCACCCAAAATGTCCTTGATCACCTTGCACAAGTTCTCAAATGACTGCTTCTTTTCTTCACGTTTCTTCTTCTCTTCCTCGGTCTCATCGTCGAGCTTCAACCCTTCCTTGGTAGCACAAACAAGTTTCTTGCCTTCATACTCCTTCAATTGTCCAACTGCATACTCATCAATGGCATCAACCATGTACAGCACTTCATAGCCCCTCTTCTTGAGCTTCTCCAAAAATGGGGAGTTTTCAACAGCCTTCTTGCTTTCTCCAGTGATGTAGTAGATGTCTTTCTGACCTTCCTTCATTCTTGTGACATAGTCCTTGAGGCTAGTCATCTCCTCACCACTCTTAGTTGAGTGGTATCGAAGAAGATCAGCCAGCTTTGACCTGTTCTGGCTATCCTCGTGGACACCCAACTTGATGTTCTTCGAAAAGGCCTCATAGAACTTGTTGTAATCATCCTTGTTCTCTGCAATTTCATTGAACATCTCGATACATTTCTTCACCAAATTCTTCCTGATCACCTTCAGGATCTTGTTTTGTTGCAACATCTCACGTGAGATGTTGAGTGGAAGGTCATCAGAGTCAACAACACCCTTAACAAAGCTGAGGTACTCTGGAATGAGCTCCTCACAGTTATCCATGATGAACACCCTCCTGACATAGAGCTTAATGTTGTTAGGCTTCTTCCGGGTGTCGAAGAGATCAAAAGGAGCCCTCTTAGGAACAAAGAGGATAGCCTTAAACTCAAGCTGCCCCTCAACAGAGAAGTGCTTGACAGCAAGGTGATCTTCCCAGTCATTAGTCAAACTCTTATAGAAGGAAGCATATTCTTCCTTGGTAATCTCCTCGGGCTTACGAAGCCAGATTGGCTTCTGCTTGTTGATCAACTGCCATTCATGCGACACCTCCTTGATCTTCTTCTTCTTTTTCTTGTCTTTCTCCTTCTCCTCATCGACATCTTCGACCTCACCCTCTTCTTCCTTCTTGGGCTCATCTTCATCCTCATCATCACTGATCTCCTTCTCTGTAGTCTTTTCAGTCCATAGGTAAATTGGGTAGCTGATAAACTCAGAGTGCTTCTTCACAAGATCCTTGATCCTCCTCTCTTCCAAGTATTCCAACTGCACATAAATATAGCAGATTCATTAGTACTCAGAGAACAATTTCATATAATTGTATTCTTACTACACATTAATTAATTCTAACCCCTGATTACAAATTTCATTTCCATAAACTTCAAATAAACAGATAATGTAATCATATTCTAACTAGACATTATATATCAAAATTAAATTTTAAGTGGTAGTAACATTTTAGCTTGCAATCACATTTTAATAGATCAAAACACAATCACTCAAAGCTAATCAACAAAACGGAAAGATTATATTAAACAATGAACATAATATAATGTTGGCAATTAAAATTTACCTGATCTTCCTTGAGGAAGAGGGTGATTTTAGTACCCCTTCCAAGCTGTTCACCAGTAGTGTCCCTTGTGACAGTGAAGGAACCACCAGCTTGAGACTCCCAAACGTACTGCTCGTCATCGTTGTGCTTGGTGGTCACAATGACCTTTTCAGCAACCAAGTAAGCTGAGTAGAAACCAACACCGAATTGCCCAATCATGCTGACATCTGCTCCAGCCTGCAATGCCTCCATGAATTCCTTGGTGCCGGATCGGGCAATGGTACCCAAGTTGTTCACCAAGTCTGCAGGGATTCATCTCATGATGAGTATATTTCCAAATCTTTGGTATACACCATACATTAATTTTATTATAGTACACAGGTAATTTCATACAATTGATAAACACAGGAATTAATCAATTATATTACTCAACTTTTTAGGGTAATTAATGCAATGTATATACTAGTTCTGTTCTATGCTCATAACATTGCAGAACATAACATATACAAATTTTACGAAATAAAACTGTGTTACTGAGAACAAACTGATAATTTGATAGAATTAACAACAATGCAAACAACAACATACAAAATTGATCTAAATAATGGTCATTACAAATTAACCATCGCATAATCCAAAATCTCTAAGTTAAAATTCCAGAAGAATAAAAATCATGAATTTGATACGAGGATAATGCAATAGAAATTCAGGTTAATCAGGTACATTACCTGCTTTAGTCATGCCGATACCACTGTCAATAATCGAAAGGGTCTTGTTAGCTTTGTCAGGAACAAGCCTGATGAACAACTCTGGTTGCGCATCAAGCTTACTCTTATCAGTCAAACTCTCAAATCTAATCTTATCCAATGCCTACAAAATCAATACCAGAAAATTCATCGTCAATCAAATGCACAAAAATCAAATTATCATAAACAAAAAATCAAAATCAGAGGAAATGAAATAACATACATCAGAAGAATTGGAGATGAGTTCACGAAGGAAGATCTCCTTGTTAGAGTAAAAAGTATTGATAATAAGACTCAGAAGCTGGTTGATTTCAGCCTGGAATGCAAATGTCTCTGCTTCACCCATTGCTACGTCCGCCATTGATGAACCTTCAAAGAAAAAACCCTAGAAAATTCGCTTTTTAAAGGAGAGTGAAAATTGATTGTGATTTAGAGAATTGCTTTGAGATTTGCTTGCGATTAACAATGGAAGATTTTGTGATGGAGGAGACACAGAAAGTGGGGGAGGTTTATATAGGAGAGTTGGATGTGTTTATGGTTCTGGAGTGTTCTACCCTTCTCTAGATTTTGAAGAGTGTTCGTGTTTTTTTGGTGGGTTTTTTTTGAAATTTTTTGAAGTGAAACGACAGCGTTTTGAGCGTTTACTTTTTTGATGGAGTCGTTTTTTTTTAAGAAGGGGAATTCGAGAAGGTTCGAGCCAGCTAGTTGGGTCTGGAATGTTCCCGGTTTTTTCTTGAAGATTTACATGAAAGATTGCGGGTAACGAAAAGAATGGGAAACCAAACCTTTTTGTGGTATTTCATTCATTTCTCATTAACTTTTTTTTCTACGAAGTACCAACTGTTTTTATCAGCGTACAAAATATACGGAGTAACTTTTTATTTTTATTAGATTAGTACATGTGCGATGCACGTAGTAATAATCTCTTCCCATAATTAATGGTAACATAATATAAAAATAAGGCAATTTATGTGAAATAAACAAATACAATATATATAGAAAGTTAAAAGAATATTCTTCGTTTACATTTATTCCTCCTACTCCAACAAGGGCTTTCCTCACAGCTTCACAAGATTGCTACGGATCCTGATCCTGCTTCCTTATCTTATTACATACTTTCAGCAACCCTAAGAGCTACCAGAAGGACAAGCCCATAACAAAGGAAATTTTCTTCGGCTACGAAAACATGGACTAAGCTTATGACCACGCTTGTTGTTGACCATTACTATACAATCTAAGAACAAGCTTGTAGGAGATAGCTGTAGAGGAGGATAGTCTCTTTAAACAAAGCCACACCAAAGAGCTACGCAGATTGGACCGCTTCGCCCTTTACCATAGACCTCCCTTTATATGAGCACGCAAGAGGTTTTAATACGCTCGACCATAGGGAAAGGAGGGACTGGTTGGTTCTTCAATGAATCTGAAGAAGAAATGCTTTTTAATCCCCCTATGTAAGTGAAGGAAAAGTAGTTCTGGTGAGCAATTCCGTAAGGAATCGATTCGATGAAAGAAAAGCGTTTTAAGGTAGTCGCTAGTTAGGGGAAACGAACGTGAGACTTATACAGGATGGCTCGATAAAGAGGAAGGATTTATAACTGCCAAAAATATGATGAATTAGGAACGATGTCGAGGAATCGATCCAAGTCTAGTTGAAGGACCCACGGGGCGGTAAGTAGCCCTTAAGGTAAGGAAGGGAGGCCTTGAGTTGAGCTTTTCCACCTAGCCAAAGCCAACCTTCTTTCGTTGATATTCTAGCTCGTGGGGAAAAAAAACCTTTGATCCTATCGATTCTAGTTCTATACCCATTTCCCCTCCTTTAATGGCTTACTACCCATGAAAGGGACTTTTCTTCTGTTTAAGAGGATTCCTATACCCTGGAACTTTACCTATACCACTCACTAACCATATGGTAAACCGAAGGATATTCTGCTTCCTTCCAAGCCCACTAGAAAGAGAGTCAAAATGCCTTCTTCTTACAATCTATTCAAAGTATATTCTCAATCGGCGAAGTCTCGTTGTATTGAAAGCGGTAGACTGGTGCTTTTATCCAGTGAAGCACGAGAGCCCCCCTTCTCAGGCATTCACTAGTTGGCTAACGAAAGCCAAAGAAGTCGGGTATCTCCTTCAGGCGGGATGTAATGAATCCACTGTATAATATAGTAAGCCCATCTCTGGATTATGTCTTTCAATGAAAGATTTGAATATATCAATCTCATTTATCGAATCACTTTTTAGAGAAAGACGAGATAGACGTCTAAGTCATACAAGTAAAAAGATCTAGTCAAGGATTGCATCAACCAGATGTTGAGAATGTGGCTAGCTGGATAAATGTGGAAACAAATTAGTTAAACAGCTAGTCCTCTATCTATTCAAACTTGAAACAATTGGTACCATCCTTATGGGTTTCAGGCAATTCATGCTCAATATCCTATACGACGCTTTAGCACATTATGTCGTATTGGAGGTGCCAAATAGAGGGTTCTTTAAGCCGGAAAGGGTTCAATATTGACTTTCACAACTATCAAGCCACTGAGATATCAGAGTTTCAATCAAATGCTGTTTATCAAGACCTTAACTCAAAAAGATGCGATCCCGTAATAAGTGTTGGAGGGAAAGAAAGCATTCTCAAAAGGAGTGAAGCTCAGAACTGTGAGTTGAACTCTTGCCCGGGGATGCTCCTTATCGTGAATCCTTGGATGTGATCCAATCCAATACTATTTCTCAATAAAAGAAGCCGAAACCGTAGAAGAAGAAAGGGCAGAAAGCGAAACTGCTAGATCAAATGTTTTAGCTAGCTCTTCTCTTCTTTAACTAGTTACATGTGTAAATAATTATTAAGCTAGTTTACTAAGCTATCAGTCTACATAAACCTAATGCAATATTGATTATACTCCTTCTCCTTATACCAAAAAAATGTCAGTCTATTGGTCCTTTGGGCGATATCGACTATTCTGAGTGTTAATCTAAGGTAAGCCATAAAGGGGCGTAGCGCTTGCTTACTTAGTGCTTGTGCTAAGGAAATCGACACACATGAATGAATTTAATTCAATACTTCCTCGGGGGCTCAACTAGTAATCGACAACCCTCGTACAGTAGCAGGTCCTTCCCTTCTTAAACCCAGTCACACAGCCCTATACTTAGCAACTCGTAGGAAGATCCGAACGAAGACAATGAAACCAAGCGGCGAAGCGAGCTTAAAAGGTTGCCTTGAGTTGAGGCTCCTCCCTTACGTTGGAGGAATAACCGCTGCTAAAAAGGGAACTTATTCCCTAACCGTTGTTGGTGTTATATCAGAAACCACTCTTACTCTTTCTGGTGGTTCAGTCAGTTAATTAATAGTCAAATCAATGGAAATCTCCTTCTTCAACCAGTACCCGCAGTTGATGCAATAACCAGTCTTGTTGGAATTAAATCAGAATATGCCCAGAAGAGGATTGATGGCAGAGAATGCGCAAAGTGACAAATGTGAGAATCAGCAACCGTCTTAATAGTAGCATTCCCCATTTAAGATGATTCCTCCCCCCAGACACCCTTAAATGGCCTCCTCTCCTTTAAAACTTTTAGCGGATTCGATAAGCTTTGTGATTCCTACAAGGGATGGGAGCCGAATCGAGACATTGATGCTTCGAAGCCACCTCATTAACCATTGGTTGAGATTCAATGCTTGGCCAAAAGGAACAGACATTTCAGCCACTTAGTTAAGTCATTCCATCAGACTAAATAAAGGCACTTGATCACATCTATCTATTTGGAAAGACGGTAGGAAATTAATCATATCAGTCAGTTGATCGATCGGATCCAACCTCCTCCTAATTCATTCTATCCAGCAGGTGGCGGGTGATCATGCCGGTAACTCCAGAGGGATCATTCCCGCGAACGGAGGATGGAAAGTCTCGCGCACGCCGAGCAGCACAAAGAGGTAGGGGTGAGCAAAGACCCAGGGTACCCGGTACCGGACCCGGAACCGGTTAGGACCCGCCGGGTCCGGACCCGGAATTGGTCTTACCGGTTCTGGGACCGGGTCCAAAATGTCGGATCTGGTTGTAACCGGTTCCGGGTTCGGATCCTAAAATTTCGGACCTGGTACCCACTGGGTACCCGGTTTAAACCAATTCCAGTTCCGGGTACCCGGTCCAGGATCCAGACAAACCGGGTACCCGGAACCGGTACTGAGTTAGTTATAAAAATTTAGTTTATTTTTTTTAAAAAACCCAAAAGCCTAAAAGCCCATTAGCCCATTTATCTATTTTTCACGGTTTTTAGTCCTATTACTCTAGGGTTTTCTAATTTTTCCTTTCAGCCTCCATCTTCTCTAATTCTCTCTTTTCTCATTCTCTCCTCAAAATCTAATCTTTCCTGAGTTCTTGATTCTCTCGGTCTTCTCTGAATCTCTGCCTTCTCTGAATCTCTGGTACTGGACGCCTTCTCCGTAAGTTTATTCTCACTTTTTTTCACTTTTGGTCAAATTATGAATTCATAGATATTGTATTTACCTTTATTTTTTTCTAGTTAATTGTTTGATTTTCCTTCGTTTTTGCCGAATTGTGAATTCATAGATATTGTATTTATCTTTTTATTTTTTTTCCTGGTTAATTAGTTGATTTTGATTCAGATTTATGAATTATTTTGGCTGAATTGCTGCGAATTGGTTTATGATTCTATTTCAATGTAATTTGAGTATGAGAATTATTTATTTTTGTCGAAAAATTTTCTGTCTTTATTGAGTTTTAATTTCTAGGGTTTCATCTAAAACCCCCAAATTATTTATTTTTGTAAGATTTAGGGTTCTAGATTTCAAATTTCGTTGTTAATGCTTTTGCCAATAGCTCGTACTTTGGTTGGATCTTATGTGTGCCACAGTTCCAGAATATTGTAATTGTTGTCTGATTTCATGTAGTTTAATGACGTTCAGGATCATCAGGTTGCTGTTGGTCTTATTGTTGGCTGCTGGTGTGCTCAACTGCTGCTGGCCTTATTGCTAGCTGCTGTTGCTCAACTGCTGCTGCCCTTCTTTTTCTACCCCTTTTGTAATCTTTGTATTTTGCTAGCCTCTTTGGTAATACAAAGTTCTATTTACCAAAAACAGAAAACAAAAAATATTAATATAACTAGCCCTTTGAATAACAAAAAAGAAAACAAAATAACATTATTTGCAAAATTCCATTGTATATATTATATAACAATTATTAAAAAAAAAACAGTAATTTACTACTTTGAATAATACCGGGTACCCGGTTTTGGAACCGGTTCCTACCGGGTCCGGGACCAGTTCCAAGAAATTTGGATCCGATAATAACCGGTTCCGGGACCAGTTCTAATTCTTGGGACCCGGTTATAACCAGTTTCGGATCCGGGTATTGCAAATATGACCGGGTACCCGGTCTTGCTCACCCCTACAAAGAGGTGCAGGCACTCCACACTAAACTGCGACGATGGACCACCACCCGACTTCGTTTCTTGTATGCTTGGACATATATAGCCGAACTGGACGCCTACAGAAGTCAACCTTTCTAAATGCACACGCTTATTGTGCGAACGGAAAGCCCTCGATTAATACCATGGGTAGAATAAAACAGCTTCGAAGACGAATAAGGGTATGACAAACGTCACATGAAACTATGCACTTAGGATCTGCCTCAAAAATATGCTATTTGAGCTTTGAAACCGTCTTTTTTATGGTCGGGTAGCTATCCATGACTTGTTGAGCGGCCCTTCCTCCTTCCTTCCGGACTGGCTTATCATAAAGGCTAGTGAAAGGGTTAGGACATAGAAAATTATGTGGCAAGGACGTCTTGATGCGAGTCTCATATGTATATCGAATTGATAGAGAGATTCTCACACTAACCAATTAACTAAGATGGATTCAATTGGTTGTTTGGGTGCCGAAGATATGCGAGATCGTATGTGGCCTCTTATTGATGCATTAGCTCTACAAGCGAAGTGCCAATGAGCGAAAACTGCAGCTTTGTATCGACCGGGGATGGGAGAAACAATTGATTGAATGCGGGGAAACAAATACAATTAAGACTGTAATAGGCATTCATTTTTGAAGCTTTAATATTTGATAGGCCGTCGTCGAGCCTACCAAAGATAATATTTCCTATCTTGGTCTCACTAACAATAGTAAGGGTAAGAAAGGGTCGAACCCAAGAGAGGCGTTGAATCAACCACCGAGTACTACCGTTTAATAAGCTAAACGAATTCTAAATTGGGTTGGTTTTTAGTAACTTCTTCTAACACAATTCAACTAAGCTAAGAGGAGGTTAACAATATTAAGAGGAATCTAGGGCTTGGGTTATACCACTCAACTTCATCACAAATCACAATTAGCATGCAACAATCAAGGTAAATTAATGGGATAAATTAGGGGAGGTCATCTAAAGCACCCAACTACTCTCTCAAGCTAGAGGGATTACTTGAATCATGAATACAACCTACTCTCGTGGTTACATAGCATAAAACAAGTTTTAAAGCATAATCACGATGACATAAACATTCCCTTGACCGGTAATCCCTATTCTCATGGCATTTCGGGTCAATTAAGCATAAGGGAGCTAACTCAAGTTCATCTCTCGATCCTTCGTTGAGAAAGCTTGGATAAATAGTTCTAGCAATGGCCATATACAAGAACTAAGCAATTAAACCACTTAAGCTCAACTAATTAACATCCCACAACAACCAAATTAGCACATGCAACAAGTAATTAGTGACTACATTGAGGGTTTTGCCCAAACCCTAGAATTTAGACTACTCACAATCCATGGGGGTTAAAGCAATTAAAGTTTTCAAGCAATTCATGAACAAATTCAAACTAAAGATTAAGCTAATTAACAATCCAAAACATGCAAGAACTAGCAAATAATCAACAACAAAGTAAAGAGAAGTAGAAAAGATGAGTAAGAAATGGTTACTATGAAGCTTCAAGGTGAGCAACAATGGTGGAATTTGTCTTCTACAATGATTGAATTTGAATAATTCCAAGCTAATAATTGAGAACTAACTAATGATTTGAGAATTTAATGTTCTAAGACTACAAACTAAGAGAAAAGCTCTGAAAAACTGCCTCCCCCCACAAATGAGCTCTAAAGGGGTATTTATATGACCCCCAAATAAAAAGGACGGAGAAAACAAGGAAGGAGTTCGACTGCAGGTCTGCACGGACGTGCCAGATTTGGCACGGACGTGCAAGGCTAAGCACGGCCGTGCCAAGTTTGGCACGGACGTGCAGAGGGGGCAGAAATGAGGCAGAACGTACTGCTAAGAATCGAGCAGTTCCGCACGGACGTGCATATATTGGCACGGACGTGCAGCTACATCTGCACGGACGTGCTTAATTTGGCACGTCCGTGCAGGCCTTGGCAGAATGTTCTGAGTTTCTGGAGCACTTCTGCACGGACGTGCAAAGTCTGGCACGGCCGTGCAGGCCTTGGCAGCTTGCTGAAGCTTTCTGGAACCCCTTGCACGGACGTGCAAGGTCTGGCACGGCCGTGCAGGGTCTTCTAAACCCCTTTTTTTCATCTTTTCTTCTATAATGCTCCTTTCCTTGGCTTCTTTCATCCATCTTCTTGCTTCTAACCTCGGCTTTGTATCCATGGGCTCCATTTGGTCGTTCTTTTGAACCTAGAATCTCAACAAAAACACCAACAACCCGTGAAGCATAGGATACACAAAAATTGCATAATAATAGAGTAAAAATGAACCAAAACGCAATTTATATCAAGTAAACTAGGTTCAAAACACCCTAAAATCGTATCAAATAGCAAGTTATCAATATTCGACTTCATCGGATGCTTACTACACGTAAGAATCCTATCTTACTTGAGTTCATAACCAATCCTATTGAATCAGTTGCACACGAATACGGTCTGCTTGGGGTTCCCTTTCCCTTTGGCAGATAAAAAAAAAGAAAAAAAGAAAGAAAAGAAAAGAGGGCATGACTTGGTAAGATGTAGTTATGGTGATTGGAGTAGTTTCGGGGGTTGGAGAAAGGAGAGGAGTGGTTTTGAGGATGGGAGGAGAGATCTAAGGTGGTTTCGATGCCTAATTAACCAAATTCCACTCATCTTGTTGTCATTAGGGGTATATGGTGAATTTTTGTAACAACACAGGGGTATATGGTGAATTTGAAATTTTTTAGGGGTATATGGTGAATAAACAAAAGACTCATGAGTATATGGTGAAAAAACCGAAATTAAATGAGTAGCCTAGTAAATGCAAAGTATAAAACTTTTCCAAAAAAGAGATGTGTCAACTAAAAATTTAACTTTCTAAAAATGAATACGTGTCAACTAAAAAAACGGAGGTAAGTATATATATCATAACAAGGATAATTCATATACATAGCACTCTTAAAATCAACGTCAAGAAAACCAATAAATTCAAACTTGCTCGTTTACCATTATCATATGGGCTTTTTTTTTTTTTTTTTTTTTTTTTTAATCTAGCTCAACTAGAACTTGAGCTTTAATTTAAACGAAAGCTTATGAAAATACTACGAATGAAAAAAAAAAAATTCACCACTAGTACTTTTGGAATTTTCAAACGACGATGTACATCATTACAATTACTATGGTATTACTGTATTAGTTTGTGAACTTTTTATTTTGAATCGATTTTATAAAATATATTATATATAGATGAATCTGGTTTAAACTTATATACTACCTCCGTTTCTGAAATTTCGACTCACTTACTATTTATTTGGTCAAAATAAATTAACTTTGACCACATTTTATGATTTATACAATCAAAATAAATTTACAAGTTTGATCTTATTAGATTCCCCTAATGATAAAATTTTCAAATTTTAACTTTTTAAAATTTTTACTTATACATAACCGAAATTATTAATGGTCAAAGATGTTAATTGGAGACCGTACAAATGGAAAGTGAGTCGAATTTTCAGGAACGGAGGGAGTATTTCAAAACAAATTTTATGTACAAAAATAACATATTCATAAGATATATTTTGAAAGTTAAATCCGTTTTATTAAAACAAGCTAAGAGACGCATGCGCGTGTGCAATATAAGTAATCTATCAAGCTCTATTCTCTGTTTTTTTTTCTTTCCACAATATATCTCCTTAATTATTCTAATAAAAAAGATTAGTGGTTTTACAAATTGTTGATAAAAAACAATAAAAAAATATGCTATTAAAAAAGGTTGATGATGTCATGTAGGTTAAGTAATAAAATTTGACTTCCCTAAATAAAAATTTTAAAAATGGATTTATTTATTTTTTTTTTTATTTTTTTTTAAACCAGCTAAGCTTCTCATTAAAATAAATCCATTTCCGCAAGTCTTGTGATACCTTCCAGAAATGGACCAAAACATACATGTTCCACATAGTCAGACAAGCTCAACCGTGCTAATAAGTGGGCTAAAGTATTTCCCCCACGTTTAACATGACTACAAGTAAAAGAAGAAAAAGAAGAACTCAATTGGATAATACGATCTGTAATCATATGAAGGTAATTAAATCCTCGCTTCTTCTCCTTCACCCGTTGCACAATCCCAAGAGCATCACTTTCTATCCACACTTTCTCGTACCCCAGACGTTTAGCAAGCTCAACACCATATTGCATTGCGGTAGCCTCTGCTATGCTCACCTCCCATCTGCCCCTGTACCTCTTTGTGCCAGTAACAATAATATCCCCACTGTCGTTCCTTGCAACAACACCAATACCCACATCCCTGTTATTGAGAATTGTCGCATCCACATTTATCTTAATAAAACCTTCTCTTGGCTTCTTCCAACTATTGTTGCTGCACAGGCCTCTTCTCTTCGTTACACCGCCCATCCTCATATTATATTGCTGGTATCTATCCATATAACTTACAAAACTAACAGCGAGCTAATGTGGATCGTGTGGAGTTTCATCAAACAGCTTCTTGTTTCGGCTTGTCCAAGCAGCCCAAGCTAATGCAGAGAAAATGCACAACTCCTGGCTTGGTAAGTACTCACACATATTAGCAAAGGTCTCCACAAAGCTGTCACCTATTCGGTGCTGGGCATCCCTCCAGAAGCTACAATGATCCCATATCCTATTCGCTTCACTACAGGAGAAAATATCATGCATCAGTGATTCACTCTCTACATTGCAACGTTGGCATGTATTCGAATTGCTTATATGTCTTCTATACAATTCATTACTCACTGCCAAGGAATTTGTACACGCACGTGATAGGGTCGTAAAATATAATATTTATATATATTGAACTCTTGATGTTATATTGATTTTTTTTATAATTTAAGTGTATATTATGCAATTTTCCTTTCAAGACATGAGTTACTACTATTTATTTAATTGTCTACAGAAAGGAGAATTTCGGCACCAAATGGATTACTTTATATTTCCGGGCTAAGTCACACGTATTAATCTTATTTTTTATAAAGTGTTCATTTGGTTTTGTGGGATTGTATTTACAAAAGAAAACCCTTGAAAATAGCAGCAGCCTTCACAATATGCATCCAACCATACATCCTATACTGGCAACCGAAAATCAAGGACCCTCAAATCACCTTGAGCGAAATTTTTCTGGGATTGAAATGTCAAGCAAGAGATAAAGATGAAATTGGATAAAAATTGGAGCGAGAAACTCGGATTAGCTGGAGATGAGCTACACCGAAAATAGGGGGGAGGCCGAATTGCATGTGATAAGAGGCAACCTTCTGGGCAGCAGCGAAGAACAGAGAACAAGGCTTGGCTGGGGTTGTGTTCTGGGCTCACGAAGCTACTGCAAAGTAGTAGAGCAACGACGGTGAGGTAAAGTGGAGGACGGAGAAGTCGAGGCGACTTAGCGGTGCTCTGTAATCCTTCATTTTCTACGGGAATTCAGAGGTGTTACTTCGGTTTTCTAGGCTGATTGTTCGTGGCTCCTTTTCCTTTCTCAATTCTAGGAAATTGGTACTATGAATTCAACTGTTAGTTTGCAGTTTTGCATGTAGTACTTTAGCAGTTGATGAATTGGTTCAATTAAGTAATAAAATTTGCTAGTTTATTTTTGTTTTATTTGTTCCGTTTTTATCATGTTAGGTGGTAGTTTCAAGTATTGATTTATAGTTGTTAACTTTCATATTCTTATATTCTTTAAGCAATATGATTTATATATCTTCCATTGTTATTATCTCAATTTTGAGTATGTCAGGCTAGATTTAATACGGGTACGGAGTTATATTATACATTGGATTATTGTGTTGTGAGAATAAGAATGTGGGTACTTTGACAGTAGTATGTTTAATTCTTGATTGGATTGGTATTCTGTTTTATTGGTATGAACTGTCAGATTATATTACAGACCGACCATCTTTAGTATAATTTGTTAGTTTAATTGCTAGAGTATTATCTTGTGATTCGTAATTGTCCGGTTAGTACTCTTTAGTAGCACTTAGGTGTTTAATAGGTGACTGAAACTTGTCCGATGCCTATGATTATCAGCTCTTTAAGTTGCATGAACCCGAGCTTGTGAGATTTGTGGCTTAAGTTAGCTACTTCCTAGTTATTAATGCTGCTAATTAATCGAGTCTAGAGAGCTTGTTCTAGATTGTTAGTTAGTTAGACAATACTCCAAGAGCTTGTTTGGTTTATTTGCAATTAAGGGAAGTGTTGAATGTTTGTTTGTGTTCATCGGCTAACATTGAGATAAGAACATAATTTTTATAATTCGATGATCAATAAATACTCCAATGCTATAATATGTCTCCCGATCCCTGTTTTATTATTATTGATTTTTATCGTATTTCAATTTTAGTAGTCTATCTTTCGTACTTTATTTGTCCCATAGTTCATAGTAGTTTATTTATTAGATCGTAGTACTATTTCTTCAAAACAGGGGTTTCTAACTTACATATGTTATAATTTAATAAACCAATTCTCTGTGGGATCGACCCTAGCTTACCCTACTACATTTTAGGAGGTTGGAGTTAGGTTTATTTTTGGTAGACATGCGACAGTCGTACCAGCACGCCACAGGAAGTGTTGTATTTTTGGAGGGCCATTTAGCCTCCAAATGCTACGCCAAATCTCCTCTCTTATTGTACTAGTCACAGCACCTCTTCCCAGCATACCCAGCCAATACCCTGACTTCACAGAATACTCCCCATTCAACGTCACACTCCAGAAAGCTTCATCAAGCCTACTCTCCTTTATCAACGGAATTGATGAAATTCTATCAATATCCTCCTGCCTAAAGTGTAACACCAATTCTTCTTCCTTCCAGCACCTGTTCTCATCATCAATTAAGGTAGCTACACAGAGATCTGCATCATGAAGGCCATTCGGAGGAGGTTCAGGTGTTATGGTACCCTCATGACTGGCTATCCAATTATCCTTCCAAGCCCCGATGCTCGACCCATCTCCCACTCTCCATTGCAACCCCTCCTTCAACAGCGCCTTGGCCCCCTAAATTCCTCTCCATGTATAGCTCGGGAAATGGCCTCTATAGGATTCCAGAAACTCTGTGTTTTTGAAGTATCTTGCTTTCAAAACCTTGTATACCAGAGTGTGTTTTCCATGAAGCAAGCGCCATCCCTGTTTCGCCAAGAGAGCTTGATTGAACACTCTGAGATCTCGAAATCCCATACCCCCTTTCGCCTTTGGTAAGCATAACTCCTCCCACTGTTTCCAGTGCATCTTATTTTGTGTTCCGTTACCCCACCAAAACCGAGCTAGGATGCTATGTATTTCCTCCAACAATCCATCCGGGATTTTAAATATACCCATTAAATACGTTGGGATTGCTTGTGCTACCGCTTTAATGAGTATCTCTTTCCCGGCTCGTGACAACAATTTCTCTTGCCATCCTTGTAACTTCTTCCATATTCGATCTTTTAGCCCTGCAAAAATAGCCTTCTTAGATTTCCCTATCACTGTCGGGATGCCTATATATTTTTCATATCTGTTCACTTGCTTGACACCCAATATGTTACACATAGCCTGTTTTCTTGCATCGGGGACATTTCTGCTGAAGACTGCCTCAGAATTCTGTAAATTAATTTTCTGGCCTGAAGCACCTTCGTACACCTGAAGAATCCGAGCAATTTCCCTACATTCTGTATCGGTGGCGCGGGCAAATAAGATATTGTCGTCTTCAAAAAGCAAATGGGAAATACAGGATGCTCCACTACAAATCTTCACTCCATGAATGGTACCATCAGCCACTGCTTTTGACAACATACAAGAAAAAGCATCAGCAACCAATAAAAATAAGTACGGAGACATTGGATCACCTTGTCGGATACCTCTTTGAGGCTTTACATCTCCCACCAAGTCGCCATTCATCTTAAATTTAAAAGAGTAACAGGACAAACAATTCACTATTTTCTGGGTCCACCTTACATCAAAACCCAATGTGAGCATAACTTGTTCCACAAACCAATTGGTCTATACTCGGTAATTTTTTTTGGATCATGACATTTTGGAATTAGTACAATACATGTTTTACTTACTTCCGAAATGTCCACAAGACCGTGCCACCAATTAATAACGTAATTCACAATATCATTTTTAACTATATGCCAAAATTTCTGGTAAAAAAGAGCATGCATACCATAAATCCGGGGTGCCTTATTTGGGTGCATATCAAACAGGGCCATTTCAATCTCCTCCCTAGACAACTCTTTACACAATTCTTCATTCATTGTTGCTGTAATGACCAGGCTAATACCGCCTAAAGCCTCCTGCAATCCTGTTGTGCCGTCAGAAGTGAATAGCTGGGAAAAATAGTCCGTTATCACATTATTAATGCTTTGTTCATCTTGAACCCATCTCCCATCCTGATTCTCACTGCCCCTTATCGAATTCTTTGCTCTTCTCGCACTAGCTTTATGATGAAAATAAGAAGTATTTTTATCCCCATCACGTAATTCATTTTTCCTAGCTCTGGCATGCCAATAAGACTCCTCAAGTAGATGAAGATTGTCAATCTCCTTTGATGATTCCCGACATTTAGCTAGCCTTACATTATCCATTGCACCCACCTGGATTATCTTGAGTTTCTCTTCTGCCTCTCGGATTTTCTTTGGTATACTACCAAATGTGTCAGCAGCCCACCTGCCCAACTCATGTGCACAAGAGGCGACCTTAGCCGTAGTATGGCCAATAGTAGCATCATTCCACATAGCTTTCACCACTTTCTCACATTCCGGGTTCGACAGCCACATAAAAAATGGAATTTTATTTTTGAACAAATATGGTAGGTTTTTTTTTTTTTTTTTTAACAAAAAAAGCTCGATTTTATGTTTTTTTTTAAAAAAAAAAATGGTAGTTTTTTTTTTAAATGAGAGGGGTATTTTAGGAAAGTGAAATTTATCACCCAAAATCCCCTTTCACTTTATATATAGGATAGGATCTATTAAAAAAAAAAAAAAAAGGCACAGGATAGGATAGGATTAAAATGGAATATTAAAAGTTTATCGAATTTCGTTTACTTAATTAATTAGCAAGTTACATGTCATATGAATATATAGTTATCTACAACGCGATGCGACACTTGCCAAGTATACAAACCGACTTAACCTAAATCGAATTGAATATCTAAAAAAAATAAATCATCGAATTGGATATCAGATCAAATTTCAGTTATATCCATAATTTTCAAGGAAAATGATACATATACATAATTTTTAGGGTATAAGAAGCCCAGGTGTTAATGTCATTAATCTATTATTTTATTTTTATTGTATTACAGAGTATTATAGTATTTAGATTCTAGAATTCTAGACTATTACAAGTTTGTTTTAACCTTTATTAAATTAGTATAAGGCGGGTTATGGGGCGAGTATAAAGAGGGTATGGCCTTATGCCCGTATGGGGTAGGTTAGGGCGAGGCAGGGTGGGTCTTCTCTAAAATTCATACCTGCCCCATCATTCGTGACAGGTACACTTTTTATATTCATCCCCACCCCATCACCTGCAAAACCTCCCTTCATCCCGCCCCATCCTTAAAACGGGTCTCCCATTTGACCCGACACACTACGATCCTTACTTACCATTACCCAATTTTCAATTTTATTTGCTCAACCCTCGTCGTTATATATATATATATATATTTTTGATGCATAAGAGAGGCTAGGCCTCGTACAAGAAAATAAAACAAACTCTAAACGAACACTAAAAATTACGGGAACAAAGCAAGAGAAAGATACACCGACTCTATCTTCATGTAAAATACAACCTAAGTCCAAGATTGGGAACTGAACTAACTCTATATTGTTCTGATTAACTCCTTAATTGGTTAGTCAATCAACTGCTCGATTACCCTCAAATGTGCATAACCTTTACAACCCCTCGTCCTTAGTGGGGAAGACATTAACCAATCCTCGTCTAGTAACGAACCAACAAACGTTTTTCGTCCAAAGGTTCCCAACAAACAAAAAAACGGAGTACTTCATAAGACTTGTCTTCCTCAAAAATGATGTACGAAAGTTGTTAGACTTTTCTCTCCACTTGATCGTTAATGGCAGGTGGTGGAACCCAGAGAAAGAAGAAGAAACTCACTGAACGATCCAACTCAGTTCCTCACTCGTCCATGCCTTCTCACTCTCCTTCTTCTCCTTATCGATGGCTAACTCGAGTTATCCCAATTGCGCTTGCTCTCTTTGTCCTTCTTCTTTTCGGCATTTCGCCGAACGCCTGGGTTGCACGCTCTCACATTTCCCAGAAATTACAATCTAATCAGATTTTTTACGTTGATGTTGTTAATGAGTTTCCCCATGATCCCAAATCTTTTACCCAGGTTCGTATTTTTGCAAATTTTTGTGAATTCTGTTGTTAAGTTTGAATTTTGATTATTGCAGTTGATTAATCATTTGAGAAATTATGCTCATTGTGCTAAATTACATGAAATTTTGGTTGCAATTAGGTTTTTTTTGTTATTTAATTTATCGTTGAATTTCTGATGGTTATGAGGTTCATGATTCATCTTGGGGGGAAGGGGATTTGCATATTGATGACAGATTTGATGATAATTTTGTTTAAAATTGTGTGATAACTGACAAGAGTGATTTGAATTCCTGAATTTAGGGCTTTTCACTTGTTGATTTTAGACTAAGCTCATACAGTAAGTTTTTGCTCTAATGTCTGTGCTGATATAGGTTGGATTGTAATAATGATGCCACAACAAGAAGTTGGTCAACTATAGGATTTAGATGATCAAGATAATGTGCCATGTCAGGATGATTAAAATCGATTGGGTGACTTTGTCGATGATAGTTTATCCCTTGAATTTATTTATATGATGTTCAATGAGTCTGGATTTAAGAAGTTAAGCTTTCAACATGTTAAATTAATAGTTTTGGTCAGAGCTATCTAAGATTTTCCGATTATGTCGAATGAGATTCGGAGGGGTGGGTCATTTGAGTGTGCTTATGCTGAGTTTTAGAAGTTTCAATACTGAGTGTGCCAGTGGGTGTTCTTTTATGTTAAACAAGCAATTTTACATTTTTATTACATGTGTGTGCTAGCGGGAGACTAACATCAATATGTGTCTCTTTCCAGGGGCTTCTATATTGGAAAAATGACTCTCTTTATGAATCAATTGGTCTTTATGGCCAGGTGAGTTTTTTCCTCGGGTTTTGATTTGGTATGCTTGGAAGAAGTAAGAACTTCAATATGTCATGAATCAAGCATGATTATTTGTTTAGTGCGCAAGTTATAACAAGGCAATTGCTCTGCTGCTCTACTTTCGAAAACACTCTCACTGCTAGTTTAAAATAATTAGAGGTAGACTACACACATTTTGATTTCTTTAGACTACTGTTATTTGCCACACCTGTTGGTTTTTTGTTGCCACTGTTACTGCCCTTGTTATATTGTTTCCCATTTCTATCTTAAGAAAGGAAGTCAGGGTTTCACTAATGTGTCTTTATGATGGAACCATCTCAAAACTATTCTTGCTTTCTGAGCTCCTTTTATTTTCCATTTCCCTCTAACCTTTTTTCCATTATCATCCAAAATAATAAAATAAAATAAAATAAAATAAAATTATTCATCCGTGTTGTTGGTGTTAAATATTTTAATGTTTGTCATTTTGTAGATTGTAATTTGACTTGAATTTAAATCTTGCAGTCTGCCGTGAGGAGAGTTGCTCTTCAAACAGGGAAGGTACATCATTTTACCTGTAGTACTTTATGTTCATTTCCACTTCAATTTGTGAACTTGATGATCTAATATGGTCTGGGAAGTTTTAATATTTTTGTCCTGAGAGTTTTTTTTTTCCTTTAATGGAGTATTAGAAATCTTTGCATCTTGCATGAATCTGGTATTCTAGAGACTCTCCCATTGCATTCAACCATCCAAGAATTGGTGTCCTATTAATTTCAACAGTGGTGATAATGATCAACCTGCTACTGTATGCTAGTTTACACTGGTGTTTATGTTATACCTGCATAGCATCTGGGGCTTTGATAAGATACCACAAAGTTCACTTGAACAGTATAAGATTGAATTTAGCTGTTTTCTTTTCTTCTCAGTTGCTCCACTTCTTCTCATGGGTGATTGGAAAGATCTCCCACATGAGCTTTTCTTTTTAGTATACTTCGTATTATTTAATTTTTTTTTATTCTTGCCAATTATTGCTTTTGTAGAGGCTTTCCTTATGCAGCTTGCTGGCTCTAGATTTTAATTTTCTGTACTATTTCCCCCCTGAATTCTGCCCAGATGAAGTTTCTTTTTGTTATACGTGTGAGCACATATTTATTATGCTTTTCATCTATTGAGTTCTGTTGACTGCTTCTGATTGTTACATCCCTTGATTTAATAGGTTGAGGCTGAGTATAAGATGGATTATTCTTCTTTTGGGGAAGGATTAACTCTCTTTGGTGAAAGGTATGTATCCCTAATTGTTTTAGTAACAACTTTTGGACTTTTGGTCCTTCTCTCGTTGATGCTGTATGTAGAAATGTCCTTAAGATTTTCTGTAGAGGCTATGTATTTATGTCCAATTGAATGGCTGTGTTTGTATGCTTCTTTTTCTTAGCAAAGTTTTCTGCTGGCTTGCTCTCAACTTTTGGGCATGTTATCAAACAAGCAGCTTCTTTCATCTGTTACATATACAGCATACGCTCTTGTCCTTCATTTGGTACAAGTTCATATATGGGCTATGATAGTGAGAAATTAATTACACCATAAATGAAAAATCTTTGTTTATTGGACGTATCGATTGACTTAGAAAAGTGGTAACTGAACAAGTCCTTTGGTTAGCCAAATAGAAATCTTAAATTAGCAAGCAAAATAATTGTGGCTCTATTATTGGCCATTATTTATAAAGGTCAATGAAAGAGGTCTTGTATATCAAGGCAAAAAGTTGGCTATTTTATACTAAAATTTTCTGTAATTTATAACTTCCTGCATGAATCTCAGATTAATAATTTATGTATGCCTTTGAAAAACCTTATTCTATTTTCTTATACTTTTAAACTAATTAGTCATCTTAAGTGAATGAATTTGTTCAGTGGTACGATACTTTGATGTGTTTTCTAAATCATTGATATTGCCTTTGTAGGTTGTATCAACTAACTTGGTTGCAGAAAATTGGTTACATCTATGACAGACAAAATTTAAACAAAGTCTGTATTACATTCTTTACTCATCTTGATCTATTTTGATTTTTCATAATTTATTACGACTTGAGAGTATTATGTATTGTCTGATTTGCCATAGAATATTGATGTTAAACCTCTCTGGAAGTCTGGCCTACCCATATCTTCTGGATTTGCATCACATTGCTTTAATAAAGTCCATTTTTGGTTTCATTTGCTGGTTAATAGAACTGTCTTCTGTCCAAATACCTTGCATTTTGATTTTTGATTGCTGTTGTGAAATTTGTTGCAATTTGATTACTGATACTTAAAGCTTTATAACAGTTCAGTAAACTTCAATCATTAGTTTTGATTTATGTCTGGTTTTATCTGTGATACAAAAATATTTGGCATGCAATTGTCTGCTCGTTGTTTTCAACTAAAACTCCAATTTGTTCAAGTGTGGAGACTGCTAAACTTGTTCTGTAACTTGTGTATTGATCTTGATTGTAGGTATGAGATGGAATCAAATAGGGTATATGATGTCCAAAGTGAACATTTTTTGTATACACTTCACTCCGTGTTTCTCCCATTTCTTTTTCTTTTTTTCCCCATGTCTTCTATCCTTGCACCTTACTTGAGCTTGCTGTACATAATTCATGTTTTTCTTTGATCATAGTATTCATTCTTCATATTTCAATAGTCAGCCTCACAGCCTGTTTTGCTGATTCATTCACCAACATCATATCAAAAGATCATTGTAGACTTGTAGTGTAAGCACCTGTTGTGGATGTTATGCGTTTCTTTTGTTTGACATTTGTTTAAAACAAATATTATGGTTAATTGGTTATAGCTGATCTAATTTGTTGACTCCTGTTCTGCGTTCTTTTTTTAATGCCTTTGATTGATTAGTTTAGATGCTTTACTTATTTATTCTTACATGCTTCTTGCAGCTAGCAGCATTTACGCATCAAATGAATGATGGTTGGGGACTTGCTACTGATGGTAAAATTTTGTTTGGAAGTGATGGCTCTTCAACATTATATCAATATGATCCCCTAACTATGAAAGGTACCTGTTTATGATTTCACTTTACTCATTTAGTAGTCGAAGCATCCCTGATCTCAAAGTTCATTTGCTATTTCCCCACATTGTTATTTGGTGTATTATCCTTCCTCAGCCTGACAGTTAGAATATTCTCCACCTCTCTATTTCCCTCCCCCCTCCCAAAGATAAATTCAATAGGAAAAAGGTGGAATAGATAAGATCTTAGGTGATACCTAGTTTTACTTTCATATACATAAAACTTGCGTGCCAAGATGTCATTCACTTGCTGTTGTACAGTGGGAGTAAGTATGTGCACGAACTGTTATGTGCAATATTGCACCTTTAACTTCAATGTCTGTTTTGTGTCTACTTTTCTACTCGTTGCTATCTTTTCTGAAACTTATGTAATTTGAATGCAATCTCAGGTGTGGGTGCACATAACATTTCTCATATACCCTTGGTTCTTTATAAAAATATTTTCTGCTCTGCTGTTTTCTTTTAGTTAATGACATACTTGACCTTACTTATTTTAGCACTTGTTTACAGAAATTCAAAGGCAAACCATAAGATATCAAGGTCTTGAAGTATACAACCTGAATGAATTAGAGTTTGTGAATGGTGAAGTGTGGGCAAATGTTTGGATGGTAATACATTTGTAACAATTTTAATTCTGTGGCTTTCTGCTCTGTTGCTTGTGTTTTCGGACTTACGGAGAAGTTCACTGAGTCTGTAAACTTTTGCTTGAGCCTTTTTGAAGCATTTGTGTTTACATATTGAGCTTGCCGTGCAAACTCATGTGGACTATTTCATCTTTTTCCTGTCAAAATCTGAGGCCAACTTTCCTTCAGTTCCAAAATGTTGTACTTATTTTATGTTGGCAGTTGACAATTTTCTCTATCATTTAGCCAAGAGTCTGACTATGTTATGTTGTGATTATGCAAGTACAAAATAGAGGGCGTTATTTTAGTGCTGACATCAGCTTTTGTAAATCTTTTATAAATGGGCTAATTAATAGTGCTTATTAAGCAACCCCTTTCATATCACTTTGAAAATCTTCTTTTACATTAGATAATTTTAATTCATGATTTCTATAGGTAATAATTCCATTTTTAGGAATTTTTTCTATGCTTCCTAGGAAGCCTAAAGTGTCTCTGTGTGTGTTGGTTTTGAGGAGTTTGGGTGGGGGGGGGGGTGTGGGGGTGATTATGAGGCCTGAAGGTTGCTTGTAATGGGGCTTGATAGAATGTGTTTTACTTGGGGCCATGTGAGCTTTCTAAAGTTGATTTATCCTTCGTGGGCAGACTGATTGCATTGCTAAAATATCACCTGGAGATGGCATTGTGGTTGGGTGGATTCTTCTTCCCAATTTGAGGTGCTCAGTGAATTCATGCAACTAATCTCATCTGTTTATTTTTTCTTTTTTTTTTTTATTTTTTTTTTTTTTATTCCCAATATCATATTGACACTCTTTTCTTTTTCCCATTTTTCAGGGAAGGATTGATAGCTTCTGGTGAAAAGGTAATAATTCGACTGTATCAGATGGCCCATGATTTATTTTTATATTATTATTACATAATTTTTTTATGAGTCTTTTTACAAGTGATATTCTTGAAAGTTTTCGTATGTAACCTGCTGTGATTGCCTCAGTGGTACAGATAGCACATGATCTTAGGGAGTTCCTAGTAAACAGGGTTATCTGAGGGATGGGGAGTGGGTGCTGGTTTTGTTGTGAGCCCTGCGATAGGGCACTATCGTAAGTTTACCATTTAAAGGAAAAAAGGTTCTGAATTCTCATAAATGACATTTTACATTCTTGTAGAGTATTGACGTTTTGAATGGCATAGCTTGGGACAGCAGTAAAGAGCGCATCTTTGGTAAGCTATTTCTTTTGCATGTTACCTGTATGAGGAATCAATCAATTTTAGCAATGCATAAGCAGAGATATTTTGAAAATTTCATTCACAAGCCACAGTGCTTTCAATGATGAGATAAATACTAGTACATGTGTTTTTTTGCTCTTCATATGCCCTTTCCCACGTGACTTTTTAGCCCAATGTGACTTAGCTGGGTGATTCACCTCAATGTATCTGAATTTGTTCTTTGTTCTGAGCCTAATATCAAAATTCCTTAATTTTTGTCTCCATTGTAAGTTTTCCTTTCTGATATAATTTCTAAACTTAATAGGATCACTCCCTCTGATGTAAATTACTAATTTTAAGCTGTTATAAATAACAGGTAATAGATGTTAAGTATTTGTATAACAGAAAAGTAAATTGGTTTTTTAAAATGCGCAGGGTACATAATTAAGCAAGCTCTTTGCTTGATAGTTTGTAGATCAACGTTTTGTGTGTGTGTGTGTGTGTGTCTACCTGTCTAATTTGTAACGACCAGACTTATAAACATCTGTTTTACAGTATGAGATACTGGATCAGATTAAGGCCTTAGCCTCCTAGGTTTATTAGGTTCATAGATTCAATTGCCCCTTCTCTTTGTGCCTCATGTGTATTACAGTAAAAGGCTAAAAAGATTAAGTAAAGGAGAAAACTAATATGAGTACAAAAAGGTCTTTTAAGTTCATCGTGACCTAGTTGGGATTATAACATTCTTTCCTTACAGTGACTGGTAAACTTTGGCCAAAGCTGTACGAGATCAAGTTGCAACCAATGAAGGAAAGTGCTGATATTAAGCAGCTATGTATCCGAGAGCAATTTCGTTTCTAGAGCAGACGGCCACACCAACAAAGATATTAAATTAGTTATTTATTTGTTCTTGATACAAATGGAGCTGGGTTTGTATATACAGTTCCCGTAGGATCTGGTTGATAGTTCCTACTAGTCAGCAAAGTTGGAATGTTAAGCAAAGCTCTGGTAGTTGAGCGTTTTATTTTGTAGGATGCCAATGAATTTGAGGCCTGCGAGCTCTCTCCTCCATCTCAATACTTGTAACTCTATTTATTTTGCTATACATAGAATACAAATCACTAGAAAGCTTTGGGGACTTCTGGTAGTAATCCTCACGGTTTGAGTCGGATTTGGTTACTTTTCGATTTATTCCTTTATTGATTTTATATATATATATTTTTATTTTTAATACGGTAAGATACTGATTTTTGGCATATTGTTTTAGGCTTTTGGTTTCGAATTTTGATCAGTCTTTGGGTTGATCAATTTTTGCCATATCTAGTTTTATAAATCCTTTTTTTTTTTTGTTTATGGAACCTTGCAAATTTCTATCTTTTCAATTGAAACACAACAACACTAAACTATACAAGGCCATGTATGCCATTGATGCTCATCAAATATAAATAAATAAATAAAATAAAATAAAATTGAATTGTAAACCGCCAATCTTATTACACTATTCCCACAATCTTCAACTTCTTTTAAAAACATATTGTGATTTATGCATAAGAAAATATACAGTCCTTTGAGGTTTGTCAAATTCATCTTGAGCTACATTTTCACTTTGAGGAAATATATTTATTTAAGAATCAATATTAAAGAGAAAACTTCAAAAACTAAATCCTTAAATTCTTCCTATCATTATTAAATGTAAATTAAAACAAATAACTTCATTAATATGAGTAACCATCTACTTCATTTCCTAATTATTATAAACATATCTTGCGCATTTGTACGGTAAATCAAATTTAGGAATTTGTTATCCTAATCTGGACATTACTAAAATCAATTACTAATCAAATTGCAATTAGTATTATATACTCTAGAGTACTATGGATCATATAATACTAATTGTAATAAATCACAATTAGTTAAAAAAACATTTATGTCAAAAGTCAAAACCTATGCTAATATGAAACGGAGGAAAATACATTTGGTAAAAAAACAAAAAAACTGTTCACCTTCTCCAATTTTCTCCTGTTCCATCAGATAGAAGAAAGAACAAACCCACGTCCCACCATTAATTTTGCTGAAAAACGCAACATCTACCTCCTGCATCTTCAATATTTCATAGTTCATACTTTTAATTTCTATCCTTCATCAATTTGTCAATTTTTAGGGTTAATTTGACTTTTTATTCCCAAAAATTAGGGTTCGTGATTATTCTATAGTTTGGGAATTCCTCAATTATTTTGGTAAGTGTTCTTCACATTCTACTTTCAGCTGTATATCTAGTGGATTTCAGCTTATACTACTGATATTTACCTGTGATTTGTTTTTATCGGTCATTTGTTCATTTATTTATGATGATTTGTTGCATTTAATTGTCGATTTGAATATTGCTTGATCGATAATGATTTGTTACAATTAATTCAATTACTTATTGACAAATTAGTTGTCATGAATTGTAATTCTTCATGTCTTATTGCTTTTAATTTATTTTTGTGAGAGTTAATGATCCTAAAGTCACGAATCCAATTTAGTTGTTTCACATGTAGTAGAATCTTTTAAAAAAATGTCTCCTTGTTTAGTTGTTAAGTATGTCATTATTTTTACCAATGTTGTAGAATTCATCAACTGAGTGTGCACGGTGCACCCGTGACTCTCGAATTATTGCTGGTTTTATTGTAATTTCATTAAGCAGGAGAGAAAATGGATGACGATGGAAGTAGTTTGGCAGCTCCAACGATCTTTATCCTCGTTGCCTTGCTTCAGTTTATTCCTAGATACTTAGAGCACCAAATTAAGGTAATGCAATATATTATCTCATTTATAATTATCCTTTGTTTATTATTCTCTCTACTTGAGTATTAGTGCACATTCTAAAATTTTAATAGAAAGAGTATAATCAATTTCTATGAGCTCAAGAATTGAAATGTACGACGAGTAGATCACATTTTGATGTTTTAGGGTTTAAGGTGTAAAGGAAACTAATCATTTCCTATTTTAAAAGCTGTCGTCGTTCAAGTCAGTTATGATATCAGAAAAGCTGTCATATAGGATATAGCTTTATACTGCTATTGTGTTCTATGAAAATTTGTGCACACTTTGACTTCGAATTCTTTTAGAATGGTACCATAAATTCTGACTTTCTGATGATTAAGATTTATATGATTGTGGTTTTCATTGAATTGCATTGTTATTGACTTATTTGTTTATTTTCTCCCAAGAGTGGAGGAGCTCCGAGTGATGAGGAAAAGGAGCTGCGTGCCGAAATAAAGCAGCTTTTGAAAGAAGCTAGCACGTTGTCACAGTTGAGTCTTGTTATTTTCTGCTATAGTTAGATCAAATTAATGCAACAAAGTTGAACTCTTCACCCAGGACTGGGATTGAAGCGAATTAGTGCTGTCTGCCATATTCTGTATACAGACCTTCATGTAGCTATCACAAGGAATATATTATTGACTTTTCTGCTTTTCCTATATATTATACCTCCTTTGGCTATATCTTGTGATTCGTGTCTTCTTACCTTCATGTATATTGTTGACAATAGACCATCGACATTTGCACAAGCAGCAAAACTTAGGAGAACAGCAGCAGCTAAGGAAAAGGAGCTTACAAAATGTAAGTGAAAGGCAAACCATAACTTGATAATTTGTCAGAAGAACAAGCATTAATAAATCATCTTGACTTGTTAGTCATGTAATGCAACTTGTTATTTATTATAGAGTTGGTCCATAGCTGGTTTAATGTGTGTCCTTTTTTCTTTGTTGAGACCAAAGTGATGGTTTTGATATTGTATATTGTGTCCTAAATTTAACTTTGGATGTATTTTTTCTTCTGGCTTTCAATAATCGCGATATGTACTGTCAGATTAGTATTTGGTAATTTGAAGCAGTACTATATGGCTGTATTAGCAAATTAAGAAATCCTGTGGGATCTGGAATTTGTTGTTACATAATATTGATATTGGTCTTGTGTTTGACATCACTTGTAGGTCAAGAACAACAAATTCTAGATAGGAAATCATTATACAATCCATATATGAAGTATGTGACTCCTGTAAAGGTGCCTATTTGCAGACTCTGCTTGTGCTAATTCTTTTGTGCTTGTACATTTCAAGTTTTTAATTAATTTATCCGTGTTTCAGGCATTAACCTATCTTTTGCTGGGAGTTTGGTTTTGGAAATATCCTGTTGCATCAATATCTAAGGAGCTTGTACAACCATTTGGTGAGGAACTTCAACCACTTGCTAGTCATTTTATTGCAATGTTTTTGTTTCTTTATTAAGCTTCTAAAAATTTAGTGTGTATAGTTTTTACATTAGCAACTAACCCATTTCGGAAACTACCTACACCAATCTTTGGAAGAATCAGACATGGTGTCTGGGTGTTAGCTCATGATACAATTCACTGCCTACAGTCTTGTAATTTATATATTTTCTTGGTGCAGGAAGGATGCTATCTTGGAAATCTGGTGGTGGTTCAGAGGACAAAGTGATGGTATGAGTGTGATATGGTTCTTTTCTCTTTAATTTTTGCATGACTGGTTGATTCCTGCACCTCTTGCAAGTTGACTACTTATCTATCAAGGCTATGGCTGTTTAGGCTTTAGATAGATTTGTAGGATGCAAAGTTGATTTTTCATAAAAATAAACTGCATTTGTTGTGTTAAGTGCTTGAAGTAATTTACGAGCTTTAATCTTGATAATGATCTGCCAATGCACAGACCTCAAGTCTTGAATCTTTATCCTGCTTCATGCCAAAACTGCCTTATACCCAGAAGCAATCTTGCATGGCATCCATTGTAGCTCCTGCACTACTTACCCCTGGACTTCTGGCAGAATCCATCCACCCCCATGCTTTTTTATATCAAATTGTATACACTGGGTTGGATTCCCCAACAACTTCTCCTACATCAGTCACCAGCCTTCTGTAAGATATCAGCTTCCATTATCTTAAATGGAGTCTTCTAGTCTAACTTCAGGCTGACACTTTGTCACGGGCTTCATAGGAGTCATAGTTGATGTCTTTCATTCAAGACCCCTGAGATTTTATCCCTATTCATCTATCTGCCAGTCAGCCAGGGTGCTTGCTAGATGGTATGACATATGTAGCTTGCTCATGTTGTAGAAAAGATCTTTTTTTATCCTGTTCAGTGTGCCATGTCTTATGATTTTCATCACTCTTATGAACCTGACCTATGTGCAAGAAATCCTCAGCATCCTCTTCATACCCCTTTATGGAATAATTATTTTTCCCCGACATCAGTGAAACTATCCTTTACTCCTTAGTCCTTGCTCTTGTGTTTTTGTCCTGTCTTAATAGCCATATCACACAACAATAAATTTTCTTTAAAAAAGCATCTTCAGATGCAGCTAGGTTACTGTCTGAGGCTCCTAGCGATCCTATACTTGTATCCTACAGGGAATCTGAGATGTGATAGTTGGCCCTCCAAAATGAATGCCTTCTGGTCATTGAAACAGATTTCACCCTTGTACAAAGTATTTGGGATGAGCAAGTCAGAGCCACTTACTCCCTTCCATTGGGTTTCTTAAGTGGATGGCCTGAACTCTGAAGTGTCTCCATTTTTAGGCTTTCAGCTGCTGAATTTCCTCTAGGTGCTAATTTTTTTATGACATTTTCGGATTTAGGTTAACTAAAGATCCCACATTCATCTCACAATTCCACCTAGTATGCAAGTAATGCAACTATGTTTAGCTAATAGCCTTATCTCTCTCCGAGCAGAAAAATTCTAGCATGTATTTTCTTTTGGTTTTTAGGTTATCATGTTCTGATGTTCATATGTTGATTTTGATACAGTTAGTTTCAATATAAAAATAAATTAAGAAATTCTTGCTAATCCTGTGTATGCAGGTTGGTATTGTACCTTGGCTAATATTATGCTCCAGGGTTAGTAAGCTCATCTGTCGGAAGATCATGTAAGATCTTTCTGGTGTTTTGTGGTCAGCAGCTAGCTGTTTAATTCAGATTTCTGAAGCCTGAGTGAGCATTTTGAAATATATGGGTTCATGTTGCTGTTTTGTTGCACTGGCACAAAGTTATTAAGCAAGTGTAAATCAATAGAAAAGGATCAACTTATATAGCACGCTGGAAGGCTTTGAAACTTGATCTTGATTGGTCTTCATGCAGATATCTCAGACGAATTATGACTGATCTTGTTATGTTCTTTTTTCTTTTTCCTTTTTGGAATCTTTGATAAATACATCTCTTGCTGGTTCCTAATACGAAGTAAATCTTTATTATGTGCTTTGTATTGGGTTCAAAGAACAAGTATCATTTCATTTTCACATATTTCACTGATTTAAGTCCTAATATTTGAGTGCTTTTTAAATTTAGTACTCCTAAGTGGCTAATCAGGTTTAAGAAACTGCTAGCCGAGATTGAGATTGAGATCATCTCACACTAAATTTATGGTGACAGTAAAATGAAAATACTAAGAAATCATTCCTCATGCATGAACTAGATTAATCCGTATGAGATATTTCCAACAGAATTTGGTGCTATGAATTGGGTGGAGAAGAATCGGTGGAGTTAGAAGAGAACGCAGAGGATGAGGCGGAGGTGGAGGTATCCTTGTGCTCAGTCATCGGAATTTCTAATCCGAAGACTATGAAGTTGAAGGGGGAGATTGGGGGAAGCACAGTAGTGGTAATGATAGATCCCGGAGCCACCCACAATTTTTTAGCGCTTCAGCTGGTGGCGGATATGGCGGTTCCGGTGTCGAAGGGCGGCAAATTCTCGGTGGCGTTGGGAAACGGTGAAAGGGAGAGGTGTATGCAAATTTTCTACCTCTTGAATTGGGCAATGCGGATATAATCCTTGGTGCAAAGTGGTTAGAGAAACTAGGGTCGGTGACGACTAATTGGAAAACACATGTCATGAAATTTTGGGTGAAGGGAATGCCGGTGACCATCACGGGAGTAATGCTATGAATCGGGTCGACCCACTCCAGCAACAACCAATTCGGGTCTATGAGAGAAGACACAAGCACAAGACTACCAGACAAGAGCAGTAGCAGCAGCAATTGGTAGCAGCAAGAAAAAAAAGTTTTAATGATCCACTAAGAAGTGTGGCATCTGATTTTGTGTGTGAAGGCCACCTTGGCAGTACATGACAAGTTCCTTAATTGTTAGGGTACTTTTGGGAAGAGGAAGCTTAGTATATAAGAGGAAGCAATGCAAATAGTAATGTTCAGGTTGTGATTGGAGAAAGTAGTAGTAGAGTAGCAGTAGTTGTAGAATTCTTCTAGTGTCAAGCTTTAGCTAGACCATAGTTTGTAGCCGTTATTTACAAATATCAATCAAAAAATATCTAATCCTTCCTCTATTCTTTATCCTACTGTTACATTCAAGCAGGTCGAATTACCTAGTCTATAGCATTTGGCACTATATTTGGCATTATATTTGGCATTCCGATTTTTGTGTTTACTGGATTTTTTTTTTTTTTTTTTTTTTTTTTTTTGACAAGTGTTTACTGGAAATTTGGCTCAAGATCTCCCTCAAGTTGGCTTAATGTGTACTACTTTGTTTTTTTTTAAAAAAAATACACTGTTTTAGGACTGTATTACGAGTAAAAAGCATGGCATTTATATGGATTTTTTAAAGGCAGAAAGGGATAAATGTAAATCACAAAGAATAAGAACTTTAAGCCTAGAAAACAGAGGAAAATATAGATGGACTAGAAAATATTTTACAGTCCTTGAGTTAAAATGAAAGTTAAACTAGAAACCGATCTTATTACCAAAACCGCGAAGTAACAAAGACTAGAATTACATGTTGTTTCGGGTGAAAACAATGGGACCTTGCCGAAGGTCCGCTGAAACGGAGAAGACTGGATTCGGTCCAAGTTATGTTGGGCCGAAGGTTTCCTGCACAGTAAACACACGTAAACTAGCCTCGGGGGTGTTGCCGAGGAAGGCCCCTCCGATGCTAAAGTCAGTACAATGTGTAAGAAGTAGACACTATGCAAGAGAGTTTTTAGCTTGAGGCTTTTGTGGGATATCTCAGAATGTATGAATGAACATATGAATTGTTATGTGTCTCTCTTAATGAATCAGAATATAAATGTCTTTTATACCTCATCATACATGGAGAGGTTGGGCCTTAGCCCAATTGGCTTGCTTTGTGGGCTGACCTTTGACTTTAACACAATTGGAGAGTTGAACCTTGACCTTGGGCTTTTAATTGGATCATTTAGTGCTTAGGCCCAATTGGACTAAATTGGACCCAAACAACTTGCCCCCCAGACCCGACTCGGAAGGATGACGGGTCGGGTTTGATTTAATTCAGAAAAGGAGGGAAGTAAATGATTTAATTAATCCAAAAATTTGAATTTAAACCGTAATTAATGAGATAACAACGATTAATGATTGTGGAAGTTGGACGGATAATGGGCAGTTTAATCACAAGATCATGTGTTTAACGGTTACTTAGTGGGTATTTAAGAGAAATTAAAACGCAGACTCTTCGTATCCCGTACCTGGAGATATAAACAGAGGCGCGTCATTCTCCTCACTTATTCACCAACACAAACCCAGAATTCTTCGAGAGAGAAACCAAGAACCCGCATCAAAACTTCGCAAATTCCCCGAGCATTGAGCTTAGAAACTGAGACTTGCCACTACGAACTCGTAAATCGGCAACTTTCGCCTCAGATTAAGGTAAATTCCTTTGATTTCAGTTTATTTTTCTTCGAATTCGAACTCCTTCCCCTTTTCTTTCGACATTTTTTTCTTCGAAATAATCAATGGCAAGAGGAGTTAGAGGTAGAGCCCGTGCTCCAAGAAGAGCAAGGCCGATTCCCGATCCTAGGAACAGGATTGGGACCTGGAATGGTCAAAGGCCGGAGTCTGACCCTGCTGAAGGGATTAGGGCGACTCCCCTTTCCTCGGCTCCTCCTCAAAGAACGGATGAGCCGAGCGCTTCTGGACGGGATGATGAAGTTCCCGCTGTCCTTTGGGATATCCTCCCTGGGTTTTCAGAGTGGGAGAATGCCGAAGTTGCTTCGGCCATGATAAAGAACCGCCCCTACTCATGGTGGGTAGAGAACGCCGATCAATATCGATTTGCCGAGCAAATTGAGTTGCATTACGGCATTTTTGAAGCTGACGGGTATTGGTGCCGAATGCCCTCGGCATCCGATAGAATCCATCGTCCACCCCCGGGGTATGTGGGGGTGTACACGAGACAGCTTCAGTACGGGCTGAGGTCCCCTTTGGACGTATTCGTCCGAGACTTGCTGATCCATTACAACATCTCTCTATGTCAGCTAACCCCCACCAGCATCCGAAGGGTGATGACATACTTATGGGTCTGCAAGTTCTTCAAGTACGTGCCGAACCTGCACTGCTTCAAAAAGCTCCATCGGCTAGTGCCAAATATTCAAAGTGGGCACGGAAGCCATGGTTCTGGGTGGTACCGGATTGAGTCCCGGCCCCAATACTTGACCATGTGGCCAAACGACTCTTCAGACAAGGACTGGAGAGGTCAATGGATTTGGGTTAGGGCACCCACAGATCCGGGCCACCCTTGCGTCTTCAGCGCTCCCCGGTACCTAGCTGAGCCTGATCCCGAAATGGGAAGTCTAGGTCCCCCCGCAGATAACGGGGCGGATCCGAACCTGGATCAGCAACATATCTTCGGCAAGCTGCCGAACCGGGGGGGGAGTGGTCGAATGCAGCATATCCCGGAGACTTGGCTCCCCGATACGCATTACGTTTTCCAAGAGAACATGCTAGCAGCTGTTGGCCTCAGCCGAAAGTTTAAGGATGGTAAGCTTCTTCGGCTGGGGCCGAGGCTTTTTAATTATCTCTTTTTCTTCTCTCGCTTCTCTTTTTTATGATGTGCCGATCTATCTGAGCTAAACTTTCCCCTTTCCTTTTTTCAGAGCGGGACGAGACCAACGTTGGCATTAACTACGCTCGTCTTGGTGTCAACCGAGAGCGAGTTGTAACTGAACGGGCCCCGTCTATCACTGAGCCGAGGCATAGGGAAGTTCATCTAGACTCTTCCCACTTCCAAATTGAGGCTGTTGCTCTGTATCAGAGGCAGAAGCCTTGGTGGAAGAAGAGAGACCCTTGGTTTCAGCTGTTGAACGAAGAAGCTGAAGCTGCCCGCACAGCCGAAGAGGTTGCACGGGTACTCGAAGCTTGTGAAGGAGGAGAAGGGTCCTCCAGAGCTGCTGAAGCCGAAGCTGCAGCTAGAGCAGCTGAAGAAGACGAGGCTTTGCTGAAGACCTCGGTGAGTTTTCAGACTTTGTCTTTCTTTTTTTTTTTTTTTTTTTTTTTTTTTTTTTTTTTTTTTATATTACTCACATTCTTCTTCCCCCCTGTCTGTTACAGTCTGAAGAGAGTAACAGACACAGAGAAGGCAAAGCTCCTGTTCGTCCCGAAGACCAAATACAAGAGTCTTCAGACTCAGATATGGACGAGCAGCCTCTTCTGAAAAGGCGCCGAAGGATGGCCATCATCGGCCCTCATGACTTTCAGCGGAGGCCGATGACCATCGGCGTCGCAATAAGGGAACCTGAGGAAGGCAACGGATCGCCGAGGGTTCCCCAGCCAACACCCCAATCACCTCAAAAGACCCCTCCGCCACCTCCTGAGATGGAGGTGGATCAGAGGACTCCCGAACCTAAGGGAGGGGTCCAAGAAGAAATCAAGAAGAGTGCTGATGAGCACGAAAATAAGGATGCCGTGATGTCCAGTGCTGAGGGCTTCACGGCAGACATCGCAAGAGAGGTTGAGGCTTTCGTCCTCACCCCTGAAGAAGAGGAGGTCATAGTAATTGACTCCTCTGAGAAGGACGATGCTGAGACAACCAAAGCTAATCAAGCTCCATCGTCATCCTTCCCCTCTTTCCAGACTCTGCATTCTGGAGAAATGGGTTTCTCGGCCCCCCGAATTCCAATCCCAGACCACATCTGGGACCTCATATGGGGTCAAAACCGAGAAGGAGCTGCAGCCTACTTCGGCGATTTTGCTGGCATGTCCGAAGTAGACAGGGCAAGGATCTGGTCGCTGAAGGCCACTGCTGGGATGGGCGAATCCAGCAGATCAGTTCCTGACCCAGCCAGGTCTAACCAACTGCTGATGATGCAGGTAATTTTCCTTGTCTTCATTTCCTCCGAAATTCAACTCTATATGTATATATATATTTTTTTTTATTTATTTTTGTCTTCCTGTTTTCAGTTCGTGCACAATCAGACTCTCACTGTAGAGCTGATAGATACCCTACAAGATAGGGTAGACGCTGTTGTGCACGACAAGAAGGTGGCTGATGAGGAAGTAAAGCTTGCTAAGCTGAAGCAAGCAG